TTATTGACGTACACATCAACCTATTTTCACTTAAAAAAAATCCCCGAATTCTGCAAACTATGCTTTACGCACTCCCTTGAGTTTGTCCATGTACACATCGATATATTTTCACTTAAAAAGTCAAAAGAGCACCCAATTCTACAGTAGAGGCAAAGAAAAACTACATAATCACAATAAACTACATTTTAAACCAAACGATAAAATAATACAAAAAAGGAAAAACCTGTTATGTATTTTAGCACTACACAAAGCGAAAATCCCCTTACCTTATTTAGAAATTTATTCGTCTTCAGTCTGTGGCATACAAAATTCCTTAACAGCATCCAAAAACTTCCTAAAATTATCTGAACTACAATCCGTATATCAGTGTCACCACAGAAATTCACAAAAATAAGAGTCAAAAATATACTATGTAGTTTCAGAATATGGATACTGAGTAAATCTTCATTTACACAATTAATTCACTCAATTAATGCACTTTTTCCCTTTCGTTCCAAATCATACAGAAACTTCAAATTAACCCTACTACATTCAGCCATTGTACCGTCTAAACAATGAAACAAGCAATGTACTTCCTAAGCAACACACACCACAAAAGCCTTTGCAAAACATCCCATGATTCAAAATTTCCCAGAATAATGCAAACGATTATGTCATAATAGGGTTTCCATAACATTCAACTACTCAGGTTACCGTAAATGATACAACAACTTGGTGATAAACGAAACAACAACTTGGCGATAAATGAAACAATAAATTCGCGATAAAAAATCAACTCTAACCGTTTCATGAAATGATTGGGAAACTGCTCAAGTATGTTTGTTTATTTTAGTTTTTTGACATGAAATACTCTGTTTTGCTTAGTTAACAACTCTTTGTTGATATTTGACCACAAATACTGCATGTGAACTAATTTTGGTATCATTCAAATAGCAGGATGAGCTAAATTATATATGCAATTAAAATACAGTTTTCTGAATGCCTTGGAAATATAAGATCTTGCAATGCCAATAGATATGTTGCAGTATAATTCTGTTTCCGACTTTGTAAGTTTAACTTTTTTATTTATAAAGAATTATTAGTATTTAATATTTCTTTCATCTCATCATCTGTTGCTTGTGCTTTAGTAATTTCTTTATAATCAATAAGACCAATAATTTTAATTTCGTGAATGTGAAGTAATGTGTCAGCAACAATATTATCAGTTCTTTTTAGTATTGGATATCAGTTGAGAATTGCGAAATAAAGTCTGGTTGACAATTTTGACATGGGAGCATTTTTCAGGTTTTTCTTTGAAAGTAAATATTAGAGGTTTGTGATTGGTAAATACTGTAAGTTTGTGCCCCTCTAACATCTATCTAAATTTATTTGTGATTAGTAAATACTGTAAATTTGTGTCCCTCTAGTATCTGTCTAAATTTATAAACAGATGCAGAGATTGCCCATAATTTTCTGTCATATGGCTTAATGACATACTTTTAATTTCAGTATTATTTGCTGTAGATAGCTCTTCAGCAGTAGCACTGACATGTTTTCCTCTTGCTACAGGAACACAGGAAATATCACTACCTGTATCAACAAGAAATTTCGAGTTTGTATGTTTGTTGTGTACGTGTAATCTGTTGGAAGTGTTTGCTGTTATTCCAGCAATCATAACTTGTTTTGCAAGAGCAGCCAAATTTAGTTTTCTGACTGTAAAGATCATGTAGAAATATATTTATGAGCATCAGCTTTGAACTTTTGATGGTAAAAGGAATATCCAACGTGACAGATAACTCTTTATTTTGCCAATAGTTCGTTGTTTGTTATTTGTGACTTCCCAAAACTTTATCTGCTATTTTGTTTAGACGATTAAATCTGCATAAGAAGCTGATAAAATTGCTTACATATTGAAAGGAAATCTTTGTATCTGCAAGTAATCCTATATATATTTCTTTTTTGGCGGTAATTATTTTATTTGTTTCAAGAAGAAACTTCTTTTTATTTTTTTTATTATTTATTTTTATTTTTATTTTTTTTTTATTATTTATTTTTTTTTATTTTATTTATTTTTTTTTGTTTGTTTGTAATTGTAAATTCGATAACAGTTTGCGGATTTGCTGTGCTTTGGAATCTTGAAACTCAACTCTTTAGATCAAGTTAGATATTTGTCATTTTCAGGGAGTGTTAAAATATGTTTAAGACCTGTTGAAGTTGATGTATATAAATTTGTTACAGTATTAGAAAATTTCCTATTATTTCTGTTAATGCCAACTAGATGAAATTCGATTTCACATTGTCTGAGCCATAAAGCAATATTTGATTTTCAAATGGGAAATATTTTCAGAGATACTCTGTGAATCTGATCTGTCACAATTTCATACTGCTGTTGATTCCATTATTTTCCAAAGCAGGGTTGCTTCGGGAAGAAAATGGGAAGAAATTCACAAGTGTGTTTCCTTTCATCCTTGAGGAAATAGTGTCTATCATTATAATCAGGACAAAATCTGGTGAAGCAAGGCAGTAAATATACCTCCTTGTTTTCTTTTTCATCTAGTGGCCGCTTGCAGCAAATTTTTTAAGATGCACAATTAAATATGGAGCACACAAATTGCTGAATACACACTACTGTATGTGTAATCGCACTGTTGTTACAAAATCATAACACTGCCAGAAGTAAGATTTCATTCTTCGGTATTGGATAACACCTTTAGAAGAGATGGATGTCTTTTTTTTTTTTTGGATTATCTAGCGAAGACTGAAAGGCTGTTCATCCGGCATAATGGATTTTCAGTAGTCTGTCTGGGAGTTGGTTGCAGAAGACTGATTTGAGACTTCCTCTGGATTTTCTTTATTATCCTCTGAAATATAAGAGGCTTTATAAAATGTGTTTCTAAGTAGCAAGTGGTATCACTATGCAGGTAAGTCGAAAGAGTTATTGAAGCTCTGTGGAAGGAATTATAGTTTAGCTATCAGAATAGTTGCTGATAGTTTAATTCATTAATGCATTTGTCAGGGCTCTGTGTTGTCAGACCACTGGGATGATGTCAGTATGCCACAATTCTATGTGCTAACTGTTGTTGATTGCATTTGATAAGGTTGCATATTATTGTTGGAATGATATAAGAGGAACGACAAAATCACTGGTCCGTTAGCCTCCTTGAAATCAAAAGGCTTTGGTTGACAGACACAATGCACATCACTAAAATCTCTTAAAAGTGATCGTGAAGTTAGGATTCTTGTCAAGTGGAGCCATAACTGAATGAACTATTGCTTTTGCAAAGTCGGAGCCTGTCATCTCGTAGCTTGTAACAGATAGAACACTGTGACCTGTTGGAGGATCATACATGTGAATTTCTCATCTTTGTGTGGTCCACTGCATAGCAAATATGTGGATTTTTTTAACCAAATTTTCATTAAAATTTTCTAATGGTATCCCCTGTAAAAAATTGTTTGTTATTATTATGTCATTTAATAGATTCTCTATCATCAATGGGTGTCTCTCCTGTAAAGGAGGGAGGATTGTTCTTTTATCTTGAATGTGCGTGGGAACAACATTGACATTTTGTTGGCAGCTGCTGTTTTTCTGACAATTTGTGATTCCATTTCCAGTTTATAATTTCATTCATAATTTCATGTGAATCAAATTCTCTGTTTTTATGAATTTTGTTCCTGAAGTCAGAGTTTTAAGTGAAAAAGATTTTATTACCTGTTATAGTGTCTGCTTAAATAATTAAACAAATACATTTTGTACCCTACATGGAAATACGATATTCTCTGTAGTATATTGTCTGTGTTGCTAGTATATTAACTATAAAAAATAAATTTTTTACATTATTACAAATATGTTTTATCTTCATATATGATTACTTAGATATATCCAAAATAAATCAGAAAAGCTTTAAGATAACGCCTAAATAAGTATGTATTACTCAACAATGCATGGTGAAAATTGAACAGTCAGGGCAAAAAGGCTAGATTGATAAGATGGGCTAAGAAGTTTCTTTTAGGGTTAATCATGAGAGCTTCTCAAAAGAGATCAACCAAAATAGGCTCTCATAATGTTGATTTAAAGATTGATCTATGTTCTATAACATACCAGACATTTTGCACATAGCTGCAACAGTCAATGAGATTCTGGTGATAAGTTTCTTGTCAAATTGTAGGAAAAATTGCATATGTATGATTTAAGATATTTTCCTAAGAAAGAGAAGCAAATTTGGTAAATTATGCAGTCATGGGAACTAAGTGATGGAACAGCTTCAGCCAGTTGGCTACCAAATGTGTTTTCCAAAGAATATTTTCACTTTTCAGAATTAAAATTTATTGCTGAGGCATCGTATTGGGATCACATGTGATACTTATGTACTTTCCCGCAAATAATGTGATTAAGCACCAATAATGGATTAGTGCGAGGTTGTAGCACACAACTAGTGTGCATGTTCAAAACGTTGAAAGACTATGGGATTGGAAAAATGGTAAAATAAAAAACACATGGAACTTCTCATTACTGTTAGATTCATATTTAAACAAATTTATGTGGCACTGACTTCGCAAAGATGATTATCATTTTGTTACTGTTTTAACTGTTATATGTTCAGTGGGATCTCTGCCAGCATACATGATTGACAGGAAAGTATAGATAAATACCACACATGTAAAATAATTAGATGAATTAGATTAGATCAACCAGATAAAACTTTTTATGAGAGTGAGAGAAAGTGAAAGGAACAGCCTCTTAAAGTGTAAGGCTAAAATTAAAATTAATGTAGGCAAATGAAAGTTGTTATTGAATTCATGAAAATTAACCTAAATGAGTAAATTCTTGCTAATGAGATAAAAGATAGCAGCCTTATTTTACGATTTCTATAACTTTTGCTAAAACACCAACCCTCCCCCCCCCCAAAAAAAAGCCACTGCTGATTAAAATGTGGCTGCATTGCCCATGCAAGGAGGCATCAGATTTTATGTGATTAATTATTTAAGTAAACTTATCTTTTTTTTTTTTTTTTTAAATCTAGGTTTTGAAGAGAGGTGCCAATGTTAATGACAGAGATGGTTTGACTGATATGACTTTGCTTCATTATGCTTGCAAGGCCGGAGCAAATGGTGTTGGAAATGTTACAGCTGCAACCAGAACTGTTGGCTTTTTGTTGGACAAAGGTGCTGATATCCACCTTAGGTGTCGCTGGACTGACATGGCTGCTATACATTATGCTGCTTATTTTGATGTAGCACCTGTTGTTGAACTGCTTTTAAAAGCTAGTAAAGGCTTAGGTATAACAATTGCAATATATCTGTGTTACCATAAGCATATATCTGAACGGCTATTATTTATCATATTACAGAGATTATTTGACTTTTTTTATAATATTATGGCATTTTAGGACATTTTTATTTTTCTTAGTGCTATTGAATTGTTCATAATTTTCCTGACATCTTACCTCTTTATTATTAATTCATAATTTGCTTGTGTATGTGTATTTCTCTTGGTTAATGAACAAATATGCATATATGTTTTATAAGTTTCAGTTTCTTTATCTCTACCTGTCTCTGTGTATACATGTATATCTATATATATGTGTTTGAAACCAGATGTAGTAAATGAATAAAGTTAATCTTTTATACTTTTCCACATAATGAACATGAAATTGAAGATATATAAAGCTTTCTAGCAAAAATAAATCTATGTTAGCATGCATCAGTTTAAACAAAATAAAACAAAAGCATTATTGAGAATACAAATCAACAGAATATTTAATCAAAAATATATTTGATTAAATATTGTGATGTCTGAAAAACTGAAAGAATAAGTTATTATAGTAGACAAAATTAAACTTTAAAAAAAGTTCCAAAAATGGCACAGTCTACTGCAAAGGGACATTGGCAACTTAATAGATTCCATGGCCAATCAAGTATCAGCTTGTATAGCTGCCAGGAGTGGCATTACCACATTTATTCACTGAACACAGTATTACTGCCGAGTTTCGTTGTTGTGGCTTAAATTTTTCTGGATGCATGTATGTTTTTGCAACAGAGTGTGTGTGTGTATATGCGCAAACACACACTGTTGCAAAAACAATATATATATATATATTGTTACAGACTTTAAAGCAGGAGGTAGAGCACATGAAAAGAATTAATTCCATGACTGTAAACGTCATTCATATGCCATTAGGTAGTGCTTTTTATGAGGATGCTGGAGAGGAAATATCTGATTTTTCATCATTTGAGCATTAGTCACCTTAGGAAGAGCATACGAACTGAAAATTGGTAGACATGCATTTAGTGCATAGATTGGTTGATGGAAATGCATGAGCAGCTCAATCAGTAGCTGTATCAAGAATGGTTCCAAAAGAGAGATGTATCAGATCACCATTTATTTTTTAATGTGCATCATAATTTGTAAATCCTTATTCCCATGTCATCTATAAAGGGCACAATGACTACACCTCACAGATATATTTTTCACAGTACATTTACTATGTACACGCACATAAATGTTTTGCACTGTGGTATCTCTGCCAATGTGCCCATGATGCTCTTTCTCCATGCTATGTTTTGCTTGCTGCTGAGATGTATTTAAATGTGAAATTAAACTAACACAGTGTTTATTTGTGGGCTAATGCAAAGTCCCATAGAATAAGGCTGTGTGATGTCCAACATCGCATCTCATTGAATTTTTGGTCTAGTTTGGTCAGCGACTGCTTAGTTGGACCTTACCTGTTATCCAAAAGGATGAGAAATTTGATGTCATCATCAAATTATTTCATCCTTTTAAAATAACTTCTACCAGGCTTACTTCACCCTTTGTCGAAAACTGTGAGACACAACATGTGGTTTCAACATTATGGGGTACCTCCCCATTATGGAAGATGTGTTCGAATACATTTTAATATGCCATATGGTCAATGATGGATCGAGTGTGGTAGACCAGTTGCCTTGGCTTCATGCTCTGTGGATTTAGCAACCTGGATTTCTTTCTTTGGGGAACACTTAAAGCTATTATGTATGAAAAATCTGTCAAGCCTGAAATGATCTGGTAGTAAGAATTATCTGCACTGTTGCAGATATCCAAGCTAATCTGAGTGTTTTGGACCATGTCCACTACTCCTTGGTCCATCAGTGTAATGCATGCATCGCTTGTAATGGGGGAAACATCTTTTGTAAATGGTATCATCTATTGCAATGTATATTTATGAGCAAGTAATACTTCTGGTAATCTCTGTCTTATGTCCCTTCATTGCTTGTACCTCTAGTACCACTATCTCATGGCGTTTCCGGTAATAGGTTGCCATGCAATTCTTAAGGCCATATATATTACGGCCTAAAATAATTTTTGTGATGTGTGTAAGAATGTATATATATGTGCATATTGAAATATGTCAAAGAAACTGAGTCAATATATTAAAATACACAAATCCAGGTATAAAATCCCAGGAGAATTTTAACATTAAAATCAGTAAAATAATTTTTTCTTATAATATTTTTAGAAAATTGTACTTTCTCAGTGAAAAAAACCTGGCTGGTCAGAGGGTTAAAGTCTGTGCCAGTATTTATGGAATCCCTTGTGCGTATGTGTATGTATATATACATATAGTAAGTCCTGAATACAATGAACCTTTGGCTGTGATTCTGGTTATTCATCCCAGCCCCCACACATAAATCGTGTAGATTAAAGTTTTCTTTTAGGACCTTTTTTTCTGTTTTGTTTTCAGTCATAGTGAATCAGAAAACTAAAACTGTAAAGAATAAACATTTTAATATGAAATTATAATTCATTTCCAAACAAATCTTGTAAATGTAAGCTTGAAAGAATGTGTTGAGAACTATATTATAAGCTTAGCCTGTGCTGTAAATGTGAAAAATCTGAATGGCATCATATATGACTGCAAACTCTTACTAAATATAACTATAGAGAACAGGAGACCATATAAAATGTTAGATTCAATATTTAAAAATTTAAAAATGCCAGAATATGAATATTTACATCATCTAAAATATTTTTGTAATTGGAAGTCCGAAATCCAGACGTCCATTATCCGGTATGATCTAAAATCCAGACCTCAAAACCACTAACAACGTTTTTCTCTAGGCTTTACATATGCACATTCGATCCCCTATCTGCGCATAATACATCTGGAGAGTCCCGATTCATAATTTCATTTGGACACTAAATAAAATACCTTGTTAATTGAAGAAACAATTCTTTTAGCATAAATTTGTATGATCAGTAATTTAGCTCCGTTGCTGCATATCTGCCTAGGCACACATCTCAAACGAAACATTCCACATAGATATGTCGTTGATCTTACACCAACTTGGCAAATCATTATTTATTATACTTTCCTTTCATCACTGTATGTTATAAAAACATGACAACTTAAGTAATGACTCATGTAGTGATGCCTAAACAATTTTTGTATGTTAGTAATTGAATAATAAAGGAGTATGGTAATCTTTTATGTTGACATTATGCTTGACGATGATTACAGATTTAAGTTAAATGCTCTAAAAAATGTTGACGAGGAAAAATTTACCAAAAATGTCTTTCCATATGCTAAAAATAGATTTTGTTGATGATACTAACAGATGCAAAGATTACATTTAGGGCTATTTGAATTAAGAATAACTGATTTGTTATTCACGTAGACCCAGAACCAGCACCAGGGCTCGTATGGCCGCACCGAGTCGCAGAATTTAGGATCCACAGAGCCTGCATTAGGTGATAAGATTTCTAGCGCCAGCCCTCAATAAGGCTTAAGTATATGTGGGAATTTATTTATTCAGAACTCTAATAAGCCTTAAGCATGTGCAAGAAATAGACATAAGGATAATAAATAACTAATACAATTCAGGCTTAATTGTCTCAATGTGCGATAGAAGCAAGATCAAATTTAACGGAACAACTTGTTGTTAGTTGCCAAGCTCATGATGCATAGCCAAATATGTATAATGAAGGATAGCTAAATTTGATGATGATAGCCGCTAATTTTAAAGATTTTTGGATATCGCAAAACAAAGGTGAAATTTTCCAATTGACGGATTTTGTAAAGAAATGTGGAGAAGCGGTAATAAATGAAGATGATTTAAAGAAGTTTTTCATTGTGATGACAATGCTTCTCAATTAGCAATTAATTAATGAATGGCGAAATCTGTAATATGGTGCTAGATGCAGAAAATACCACTACCGATAGTGAAGAAAGCGACGGAGAAGTTACTGAAAACGAGAAAATTTTGATTGACAAGTTAGTCAGAATTCTCGAAACAGCAGTTACAGGACTTCTACAATGTAACTAAACAAGAGATTATGTCTGTCTACAGAATTAAAGAGAAAGTATTAGCACACACACAAAAAAAAAGCAGCAACTTAAACAACTTACATTGAAAGAAATGTTTAATAAAAGTAAACAAATAAATATAAAGTGTTTTTTTTTTTTTTTTTTTTTTTTTTTTTTTTTTTTGTAATTTTTGATACTCTTCAGATCATAAATACTTTACTATTTCTTAAATCACGATTTCATATTTTTAATTTTATCATTTCTACATGCCATCTTACTAAATTTAAACTGATGATCTAATATCCAGAAAAATGAGAAATCTGGAATCGTCGAAGTCCCGGCGAGTCCAGATTTTCGACTTTGTACTGTATATATTTGCAGCCAACAGTTACAAAAATAAAGGCCACATAAGAACTTTTATGGATGTGACGTATATGTATCTGTACAGAAAAAGCAAGGAATATTTATATTTATGTTCATAATTTTGCATTTTTATTTTGTTAACGTGAAAGAATTTTTGCTCAAGCTTGAATTTAAGAGAATTACTTTTTCCATTTCAATTATGAATTTTAAGATTAGATTTTAGTATTATATGTTTTGTGTTTTTTTCTATTGTAGTTCTATTGTATTTAATTGCTGCAAAGACTTTTATATATTATCAGGACTGTAAAGCGTATTCTGCATTTGTCTCATTTATTTTCTAGATATTAATAGCCAATGTCGAGAATTTGATGGAGGTTCTCCATTGCATATAGCTGCTACTAATTTATGTACAGAAGTAGCAAAATTGTTACTGGAGCATTGTGCTGATGTAACTATGAAAGATTTTGCTGGAAGGACACCTTTAGGTATAATAAGAAGTATTATTATTTTGTATTCTTAGATAATTTTACTTAGTCTTGTCAACATGAATTTATAACTTTTTTAGTATTATTTCCTGAGGAATTTCTTCACATTTTACTGGAAAATTTGTTTTAAATATCTACATTGATTGTGTTGTGTTTGCTTATCTTCTAAATTTTAAAAGGTAAATATCTGAATTTTAATGGGGGCCGAAATCCAGAATCTCACTGTCAGCAATCAAGTGCAGTCAAAAGTCATTAATTCGGACACCCATAATCCGGACCTCAAAGCTAAAATCTTTCTGCGCATGCGCCGCGTGGACGTATGCGCATAGGCGTTTTACGCGTGCGCGCAAGACATTTACGACTGCGCATATGCGTTTGCGCAAGCGCAGAATACGTTTTCGCGTGCGCGTTAAATGTATAACGGACGGTATAAGCTAAAATTATCTAATTATCTATTTGAGTTAATGTTGATGATTGCGTTGTTCCTTAATCTTCGAATTGGATCCGGCCTATTATTTTTTGCAGACTGTAAGAGCAATTTTATAAAAGTACGCTTAAACTTTCGATTATGTCAAATAGAATTTCCGATGCTGGAGCTCCCAAAGGATCTAGAAAACGAAAGTATGTTTCGATGTCCATCAAACAAAAAACGAACTGCTACATAAAAATGGATAAAGCCATATCCTTTGTTTATCTAACCGTTCCAAAATCTGTTTATCAATTTCACGCTGCTCTGCGCGGGGGGGGGGGGGGGGAGACTTCGCGGCGGCAATGAACTGGAAGTTGATCTGTCAGCACTATCGTTATCTTCAGGGCAGATGTTTTTATTTTATTCGGCTTATAATTCCTTACTAAATGTAGTATTTAATCTCGACTATATGTAGTATTTAATCTCGATGTACTCCGTCTTTGATATGATTTAAATCAAATTCCTCGTCATTATAAATATCACGAATACAAATCAAATAGTTTTCTGGTTGCAATTTTCTAATTTCGGCTATGCGTAAGGTATGCTTTACGCATGCGCGCGTTAAAAGAAATGTTTAATAAAGTAAACAAATAAATATTAAGCTTCTTTTTTTGTAAATTTTGATACCCTTTAGATCATAATTGCTCATTATTTTATAAATTACGGTTTCATATTTTTAATTTTATAATTTCTGCATGCCATCTTACCAGATTTAAACTGATGATCTATAATCCGGAATCGCCGAAGTCCCGACGAGTCCGGATTAAAGACTTTTGACTGTATATGGGTTATTTTTTATGCAAAGTGTGTTTACTTTAAAAGCAAAAGAAGTAAAATATTTCAAAAAAACCATCCATTTCCTATATTTACATTTATTTCTGTGGTTTTCTACATACTATCCTTATCTGTTTAAACATTTATTATAATTAAAAATAATTGGGGGATACCTTCCTCACAAAACTTTGCTGCCAGTGATATTACTATGTTTAATCGCAGTTGTTTCTCCATCAGTAGTTTTCATCTCACTGTGCTGTTTGCTCACATCTCCCACCTGCATGAATTTGAATCTCAACATCCTACACCTAATCATCATTGCTTACAGATGGGCAGCAAGCAATATTTATAATGGACATTTTTCTGAAATTTCTTCAACTATCTCGCCCATTTGGCCATTTTACTGTCACCCATTTCATTGTCATTATATAACTTCACACATCTAAGTAATAAATAGCAACTCCTTTCACATTTTTTGCTGTTAAGCAAATGAATGATTATATCGGGTTTTAATGTAAGTTACCCACCACCAAAACATCGTCTGTGCAAACAGTTCATGTTAGCTTGTTTAATGATACAGTCAAAAGTCGTTAATTCGGACACCCATAATTCGGAATGATCTATAATACGGACCTCAAAGCTAAAAACTTTCTGTGCATGCGCCGCGTTGACACATGCGCACAGGCATTTACGCGTGCGCATAAGACCTCTTACGACTGCGCATTTGCGTGTGCGCAAGCGCAGAATACATTTTCGCGTGCGCGTTTTATGTATAACGGATGGTGTAAGCTAAAATTATCTAATTATCTATTTCAGTTAATGTTGATGATTGCGTTGTTCCTTAATTTTCGAATTGGATCCGGCTTATTATTTTTTGCAGACTGTAAGAGCAATACTATAAAAGTAAACTTGAACTTTCGATTATGTCAAATAGAATTTTTGATTCTGAAGCTCCCAAAGGATCGTACAAAACGAAGGTATGTTTCGATGTCCATCAAACAAAAAGTGGAATTGATGCAAAAAATGGATAAAGACATGAAGAATGTGACAGAGAGGTTAGTGAAAACGAAAAAATTTCGATTGACAAGTTAGTCGGTATTCTCGGCACAGCAATTAACGGGACTTGAACAGCGGAACTTTGTAAGTGAACAAAAAATTATGTCTGTTTATAGTATTAAAGAGAAAGTATTATCACATAAAACGAAGCAAATTAAACAACTTACATTGAAAGAAATGTTTAATAAAGTAAACAAAATATTAAGCCTTTTTTTTTTTGTAAATTTTGATACCCTTTAGATCATAATTGTTCTTTATTTCATAAATTACGGTTTCATATTTTTAATTTTAGAATTTCTGCATGCCATCTTATGGGATTTAAACTGATGATCTATAATCCGGAAAAATCGATAATCCGGAATCGCCGAAGTTCCGACGAGTCCGGATTAACGACTTTTGACTGTATTTTGTCAAATGATTTTTGGCATTTGAAAGAAAGAGACTTGCTTTAGAACATTGTGAATTTGTAAAAAAATATTGTTATCATTAAGTACAAAGTGTCTGAAATGGAATTATCACACTACCAGATTAAAACCATCATTTGCTTCGAGTTTTGTTGGAAAAAGTCATCTGCATAATGTCATCAAATCATGTGTACAGCTTTATGTACTAATGTTGTACCATATGAGTGTGAGGGCTTGATACCGAAAGTTCAAAAACAAGCAGTAACACATTCAAGAAGCAGAATGCTCTGACCAGCCTACTGAAGTTGATGAGACCCACCTGCATGAACTTTTTTAAGAAGATCAGTATGCTACCACTCAAGAGCTTGCTAAGGAGTTAGACATTAGTGCTATGTCCATTAATCGCAGAATGAAAGATAAAATCGCATAAAATTGACGTGGAAGCTCAATCGCTGGGTGCTGCTTGAGCTGACAAGGAATAGGCATGTTCGGGCTTGCACTAATCTGCTCAAATATCAATGCAAGGACAACATTCTGGACTGGATTGACACTAGTGATGAAAAATGAATTTACTTCAACAACACAGGCAGAAAAGGGGGTTGGTTTGCACACGGTGAGCCCATCGTCAGAGTGCACAGCACAATTTGAAAAAGGTTGTGCTTTGTATCTGGTGGGATTGCTATGGTGTTATCCACAAAAAGTATTTGGAAAAAGGTTAAACCTTTGACAGGAAGGTGTACAGCGGAATGCTAGTCCGTGTTGATGCTGCTATCAAGGAAAAAGTGTGGACTGAATTCAGGCATAAAAAGCTAATGTTCCATCAAGATAATGCAAGACCACATGTGTCTGCATTCACTGGCTGGACTCTGTACATACTCGAATGGGATCTTTTGCCACACCCACTATATAGCCTAGACAACATTCCTTCAGACTTCTACCTTTTTTCACAACCGCAGCTACATCTTGTTGGTGCTATCTTCCATTCTGCACAGGATATCCAAAATGAGGTTAATCTGTTTTTGGACTCAACGTCCACCAAGTTTGTAGGCCAAAGGCTTTGAAAAACTACCAAAATGTTGGCAGAAGATCATAGCTTTGGATGGTGATTACTAGCCACAGTAAAGGTTCTGCTTTTGTGTTTTTTATTTTTTCAACCTTTATTAAGAACGTTTTTTGGGTGGAAAATTTTCATTACAATTAATTTGATAGTTTGTGGAGTGGTCAGTTTTCTTAAACATATTAACATCTCACTATAAAGCATGCAGACTAGAAATGCAGGGAACTTATATGTGTACTCATTCTCACATGTGCATGGAATTTTAAATTGTTTTCTAATGGATCTTGCTTAAAAAATAACCTACATTCATTACTACTGCATCTCATTAGCCAGTAATCACTTTTCATATTTGATACTTTTAATAATAAAATCTCACTTGAATAATCATCTACTGAGTATATTGTCACAGTGAATCTTCTTTCTACATATCATTTGCATAGTGCAACATTATGTAGTATGGTTAACTTGTGTGTATTCCATGTAAGGTGGGAATGAATGGGGGGTTCAGATATGTACGAATAAGGGGATATTCTAAAATAAAATGGTTTTCCAAAATGTGTGTATTGCATTTAGGAATATGCATCTATATCCAAAAATAGGATGCTCCACCTAGCAGCAAAATTTACAACTGCATCAAAATTGATCACCAGGTATAGATTCTAGTTACGTTTGTGCATTCATAAACTGCAAAGGGATTCAGATAAGGAAACTTTTTGAATGAAGTCATTATAGTTGTATTTTTGAGAATATGCTTTTTATCCTATATTTTTTAATTGTAATATTTTGTTATTTACTATTCCTGCAATATTTGTGCAAAAAAATCATAGTATGAGAGCAATGGTAAGTTAAGTAGTATTCAGAATTGTTAATATTGAGGTTGGCATAAGGTTGTTGTAGATGAAACTAAAGCTGGAGTATCATACTCGTAATATTATATGCTTTCATTGAAGGAATTTCATATTTATAATAATAAATTTGTAACTTGTGATAACAGTATATCATTATATATAAAATTAAAGAGTGGTGCTGAAAGAGATCTAGTATTAATTACACTCTTGTGATTTTCCAATGATAACAACTGGTACTTCATTTTGATTGTTGTTTTCAGAATGCATTCCAGATTTTCCTTCAAACCAACATACTCCTGATCTCAGAGAGGTTATAAGTTCTTTACGCCAGTTGTTGGAATCTGCTACTCCCAATCATTTACTTCAGAATCAACCACAGTATGGAAGTATTGGAGGTAAAGCAGTTCTTAGATCTATTGGTATCCAGATTGGAGATAAAGTTGTTGTAGGGGGAGCCAAAGTAAGCATGCTAATGATACTGTAGATTTTTATTGAGTTAATTTCAATTCATTTTATTAAGTTTTTTTAAGAGTACACTAAAATTATTTGTTGAATGATTGGTAGTATTCATTGCAGAAAACATAACTAAAGTATAGAGTTTTTGAAAATGATTTTTTGTTTTCCCTAAAATTAATTTAATGAGAATTTCATTAATAGAGTAAGAAAAGACAGTGTCCACTCCATTTCTAGTGATGGCAGTGTTCTTGCAGTCATATGCACTGTTTGTTGTCAGAGCATAAAAATCAATAAAATCATATTATTTCTTAAATCAATAAAATCATGTTATTTCTTAAATCAATAAAATCATGTTATTAGATTTCTTTTTCTTTTTCAAATGTATTTCATTTTTATTACATATTCTTACATGTATTTATTGAAATAAAATAATAAGCTGAAAGCAAAGTTTAAGTTTTTTAAAATTATTTTTGGTGCTTTTTTAGATCTAGAATTATTTTTTCTTTTTTCACTCCTTAGATATGTCTTTTTTAACATAAATCTTTATTATACATTTTTTATCCTGATATTTATTCATTGGGAACATATCTATCATGTAAAAACAGAATTAGATGTGCACATAAAGAGGGGTTTGGAATGATTCATTTAGTTCAAATAATCTTGAAGCTTAATAAGAGTTTCATTAATAGACTAAGAAAAGATGATCATTTCTAGTGATGGCAGTCTTCTTCGTATGCACCATGTCAGAACGTAAAAATCAATAAAATCATGTTACATGTAAAACAGATTTTTTTCATTTCAAATGTATTACATTTTTGTTACATATTCTTACATGTACTTGTTGAAATAAAATAAGCTAAAAGCAAAGTTTCAGAATTTTTTAAAAATTATTTTTGGTGATTTTTTAAATCTGGAATTAGTTTTCTTCCCCCCCCCCTTAGATATGTCTTTTTCAACATAAATACTTTTTATACATTTTTTATCCTGATGTTCTTTAGGAATATATTTATCATGTAAAAACAGAATTAGATGTGTATATATAGAAAGTTTTGGAATGATTCATCTAGTTTAAATTATCTTAAAGCTTCCAAAAGTGCAGTAATCAAACAAGAGAAACTGTCCATATTTAGTCTCTTGATTTTTTATGTGCTGTATGTGACTTCTCATTAAAAGACAGCTAATATTGTGATCTATTTGTTTTCATCCCATGTACCTCATTTCACACCACAAACAGCATAATTTCTGAATTAATTTGGAGTTTGGGATCAGCCTTCAGCTATGTATACCAGTATATACTGGTATACATAGCTGAAGGCTTAGCTGTACCTTAGCTGTGTTCAAAAATCATATTACTTTCTATAGGCTCAGCTACAAAGGAATTTATCATATGTTAGAATAAACGTATGATAAATTCAGATTATCTGTAGACGGTCAAATGAAGTTCACAGAGCACTTACAGAATCAGGGACCAAATTTGATTATTTTTTCTTTTGAGTGATGGATCATTAGTCACTGCATATTTATAAACTTTCAGCAGTATAGTTTTCTGAAAGTGGATGAAACATTTGAAGTTTTGTAATTTCAGTTATAACATTTTATAAAATAAGGGAGAATAAAAAGTTATTTTTCAAAAGTGCTAAGTGACATTTGTATTTTAAATCATGTTTAAAGACATTAAAAAAGTTGCCGTTTTTTAAAGTGTGTTGTATTTTTTCTATATGTAGTTCTATGTAAAATAAAATGCAATGCATTTTGATTATTGTAATTTTTTTGTCTTTATTTCTTTTATAATTTATTTAAAGTGTGTGTCATTTTAAATTAAGAGAAAAATTTATAATTGAATATGACTAATTTAATAAGATCAAAGTTGTTTATATATATATGTCATAATAAGAGCAAAACAAGGAAAAGCCGGAGCAGTGTCGATGCGTGATTAGATCCATATTGAAGAAGAATTTTGATTGCGTAGTATTTAAAGAACTTGGCAGTCGAGGCAGTTTTAATTCCATTTTTATTTCCAATTGATATTTGTGACCACAATCACTTGGCACTTTAGTCGTGCCTTTCCACAGAAGATTTACATTTTTGATATTGTTGGGATAGAAAGCAAGCCAGCGAAATTACATCTTAGCACAGTAGAGAGCAAAAGCTGAAGTGAGTCGTTATGAAAGATGGAAGCACGCGAAGAGAAAAGTTTTGGTTTACAACGACAGTTCAGTTCTTAATTATTACGTCATCGGAGTTGCGCCGATCATAGAGTGATCTAGAAATGACGCAATGCAAAGAAGTTATTACGATTTTAGAATAGAGAGGAAAAATTAATGTTTATAGTTTAATCTATAATTTTGATTCATATATTTTTATCTTACATATTCCCCCCTTCAAAAAGAAAAAGGCGTAGCGACAGAGAAGCCTTTTTAAAGAAAAAGAGTTAAAGCACAAGCAAATTTAAAAAAATATAAATAAATAATAAAATTTTGATCCTGTAAAGTATTATTTATAAATATCATTTTTTTTGTTTTGTTTTAAATAGATTCTTAATTTTTAGAGTCCTATTGAATTTTTCAACATTTCAGTCCAAAAGTCTTTTTGTTTGAGAGTTCACATAATCATAATTCATCAGGGAAGGTTCTTGTTATTACAGAATATCACAAAAACTTTTACATAATCATTTCTTATAATTAAATGTAATGCACATAAATATTTATGATACTTAGTTCCATACTGATAAATTATAATTTAACATCACAAATAATAGGATTAAGATTTTCAGAATTTATGGTTTCACCGTTATCATCTTTTCATTTACAATTCCTGATTTTACCAAACTGGAAGCCTCGCAATACTTCTAAACAAACATATCCATTAATAGGGCTGTCCTCTTGAGCTAACCAGTGTGTTCTCTGCACTGGTGGCCCAGGGTGCCTAGACAGTTACTTGAAAAGGCCTCCGTTCCTTGCATTAAGGTAACTGGCCTTTGAGAACTGCACTAATACATTCCATAATAAAAAAATATAATAATAATATAAAAAAATTACAAACACTCATAAAATGAGAGCCTCCAACATTATCTTACTTGAAGAGGGTGAAAGGAACAACTGTACAGAGGTAATTACAGGCCTCTGTTGAAGGAACCAGTACACCCTCATCATACTATACTTAACACACAATAACCCATAAATTTTAACATGCATTTACCATAACTTCATATTACATATCTGTAATAATTTCACTTATTTTTTTACACCCACTCCATTTTTAGAATAATTATAAAACTCATATTCAAAATTCTCAACAAAATTTCAAAAACATAAAATCTTATCTTAATATCCTTCCCTATGAATAATTTAAATAGCTTAAAATTCGTTACTTAATTTGCTCTCACATAATTATGAAAAATTAGAAAAATTAATGAACAAGAATTTCAGATTTTCTCAAAACAAATTGCAGAAATTTTAACCAAAGTTGAAATGAAAACTATAGAATCCGCAGCACATTGAATAATTTAGTTCCTGAGCTAGATTCACATGAATGTAATAATTTTTGAGCTGTTAAAAAAGCGGAAGTGCAAATAATTTTCTGTCGCACATACTTGCAAACACTAACTCGGATCGACCTTGAACCCGCTGTAATGCTGAATCCCTACACGGTAATTCACTGATGATTTCCTTTTCACTAGGCATTCGAACTTCTCAATTTATCGAGATATTACTTTCAATCTGTAAACACTACGCATGATTATTCTTTTGAAGCACTTGCAAAACACCACGGCAGAAGAATGATCTGTTATTTTTTAAACACTGAAAAAACAAATTTGATGATTCACTTCTTTCACATTATCTTGGATTTATCACAAAACGATGATTTGAAGAGCTGAATTAAATTTTCCATTGAGGTTTCAGGCTGCAGGAAACTATCCTACCAGCTTAATTGTCATAGTAAGAGCAAAACAAGGAAAAGCCGGAGCAGTGTTGATGCGTGATTAGATCCATATTGAAGAAGAATTTTGATTGCGTAGTATTTAAAGAACTTGGCAGTCAAGGCAGTTTTAATTCCATTTTTATTTCCAATTGATATTTGTGGCCACAATCACTTGGCACTCTAGTCGTGCCTTTCCACAGAAGATTTACATTTTTGATATTGTTGGGATAGAAAGCAAGCCAGCGAAATTACATCTTAGCACAGTAGAGAGCAAAAGCTGAAGTGTGTCGTTATGAAAGATGGTAGCACGCGAAGAGAAAAGTTTTGGTTTACAACGACAGTTTCAGTTCTTAATTATTACGTCATCGGAGTTGCACCGATCATAGAGTGATCTAGAAATGACGCAATGCAAAGAAGTTATTACGATTTTAGAATAGAGAGGAAGAATTAATGTTTATAGTTTAATCTATAATTTTGATTCATATATTTTATTTTACATATATATATATATATATATATCATATATATATATATATGTGTGTATTTTGAATATTTTTCCCTAAAAAAAAAGTAAGCAAGAAAAGTTTATTTTGCTTGAGGAAAAAAGGTTTTACAGTGTGTGATGGGAGAGAAAATTTTGCTTGATAATGCTGCAATTCTGTGCATACACTGTGCTTAAATTATGCATGTATAATACCTGTTATTATTGACTTGTCCGAAAGCTATTCATTGTACTTATGTACAGAACATTCATTGTATATGTTTAATAATGTCGCTGCCATGCTGAATAGACCAACATGCAAATTGTTTTTTTTTAGGGGGGGAACTGAAATTTGTGTTTTTGCTTATCCTGTATGAATACTAAATGCAAAATTACATCTTTTCAAAATCACAGTACCTTTTCATTCACATATTTATAAATAGGAGATTTTTTGGTTGACTATTATCAGTTAGCAAGTAATAGTTGCCAGCCTGTAGGCTATAATAAGGAAGTGTTGCAATTTTGTGTGCCATAATATTTAATTTCTTTGTTATATGTAAATTTGAATAAACATTTGGTACTGAAAAATTAAATTAAAATTTTTTATGTATATTTTACTTTACAAAAGTATCTTGTCTTGGCTTTCAAGTGTTAAGCTGGAATCTGAAATATTAGATTGTAAATTCTCTTCCTTCAACTTAAGCAATACAGAAACAAGTAATAGGAGGTATCATAGTAAAATATTCTCATACTGCATAACAATGAAAATGCAAAAAACAATAATATGAGCCATCAGACTTTAATACTTTTGTGAGGCCCAATAATAATATACTTGTTTATGTTACAGCTGTGAAATGGAAGTTTGACATCATTTAAATGAGAGATTTCTTGCCTGCAATCTCAATATCTCACCGTGTGAAATTTTCATCTTCAGCTGTCTGAAAAAATAGTGATTCCATGATATCATAAAGAAGACTCTATTTGCCCCCCAATTTAAATCTTTCGCATTGAAGACATCCCAAACGCCCGAGCATTCAGACATTGGCTGGATGCCTGAAACATCTGAATAATTTACTATTTAGTGCTTTCCTCCATCACTTAACTGCATTGCTCATTGCTTTCATGTGTTGTTAAAAAGCATATCAATCATTCTTTTGAAGCGACTAAAAGTAGTTCTGTTATTTTAATGCACCTTCTTTTTCCTTTGTTTACTGTCAATGTTTAGCTTTTGATGCCTGAAGTTGCAATCCCATCCAAAGGGGGAATTTCACACAGGGTGAAAGCGTCCTCTTGGAGTTCTTGGTCTCTTGGAGTCCCTAAGAAGTTCTGGCTTTACTTATGTAGGTTATTATTAGCACTGTAGTATTCAATTTGTCATGGGGAAAGGAAAAGCATTACAGGAGAAATTCGATGTTTGTGTTTCGATGGCGTTTTTTGATGTTATTGAAGTTTATTGAATTAATAAAAGTTATATGCAAATTTCATTTTCCCTTATGGGAGAATGTAATTTGCACACAAGTGATTTTTCAATATAATTTTCCCTATTAAATTTTATTTAATTCGAATTATCTTAATCTTTTATTGAGATTTGTAGGACTTTTTAATGAAGATTCAATCAATGTTTAATTGATAAATTTTTACTTTTAATTTTGCTTCACATCACCGTATGGTAAGTTATTTGGTTTATCCCCTAAAAAGCATGTATATTAATTTTATTTCTTAATTTATGGCTTTTGAAAAAACTTTGATAAATTAAAGTTTTTCTTTCCTGCTCAGGATTTTTCTTAGTATAGAAATGTAAGAAAATTGTAAAATTAAATTAGCCAAGGGATATAAAATTTAGAGCCTTAGTTTATATATTTAAAAAACAATGTATTTTGCACTAGAATCATATTGTAGATAGTTGATAGCTTGAATAAGCATTATAAAGTAAATTTGAATCAGTTTGGAGTTCTTTTGAAATAGTGTTGCTGTGCATCAAAAAAATTTTCCAGAAATTATTGGCAATTATGTCTTTAATAAATAAAACATAGGCATTAATTTTTTTTTAAGATTATGACTTATTGAATATTTTTTATAAACAGGTTGGCATTCTCAGGTATTGTGGTGCAACCCAGTTTGCTCAGGGTATATGGGCTGGTGTTGAACTTGAGGAACCACTAGGCAAAAATGATGGTACTCTCAAAGGAGTGGCTTATTTCAAATGCCCTCAAAACCATGGTACATTTTTATAATGTATTATAAAAAATAATTTTATAACTATAAAATAATGTTTGCAAATTGAGTAGTTCTGTATGTTTGTTGCAGGAGAATTATACATGTGTTTCAATACATTGCATTTATTCTTTTTACTAGATCTAGAGTTATTTTCTTAAAGCAGATTTACTAGAAATTTGCTAAGTAAACAATTTATTTATCAAAGAATAATCTTGTAGTAAAACTGTATTTTTTTAAAATAGTTTGTATGTGTATTGGTACTTACAGTACTCCTGATTAACTGGCATGGTACTAGGGTCAGCATCCACAGTTAACCAAAAATCACTGTTAATCGTACAACAGTTTAAAAAAGTGAAAGAAATAACCCATTAACTAAAATGACCCAAAATAAGAGTAATAAAAGAATTAAAGAAAAAAATCTTGTTGTTTCTTATGCTTACTTATCTGACGTAGTCAGCCCAAGCCCACGGAATTTCTCATGGCAAGGAGCGCTAGATTACACCTGCCGTTGGTAACAGCCTTGAGCACCATTCAGTTGACAGTGCGATTTAGCTCAGTTTTGTCCCCAATTTCGAGGGAGAGCTTCCTGGGGAAGGGGGGAACAGACCCAAGGGTCTCCCACTCCTCTCCCCTTCTACCAAACCACACGAGAGGACTTTTGGCTTGCCACATATTTAAGAGTGCCGCCATGCTGCATCAACACTGTACATTTTCAAACATCCATACCTTCTCCGGGATCCGAACCCGGGCCCTTTGACAGTCAACGACGCTAACCACTACACCAGTTGCGCGGCAAAGAAAGAAATAGCCCAACATAACTCATTTTATTATATCTGCATATTATAATTAGCAAAGAAAAAAAATACTGTTAACAGTTTATTTGTATTTTCAAGGAATTTAGTCTGTAAAGAAAACAGTTTAATAATTGTAAGGTAAATCAGCATTCAGAACAAAAAGAGCAAATTTCAAAATGGAAAGGATAATATATTTGTTAATATTACTCTTGCATTTTTCTAGGAGTTGATAGGAAATAGAACATTAATACTTGTACACTGGAATTATTTTTGCTCTTGAGTATGCAGTGTTTATGTATTCCAGGTTATGTACAAGGGAATTACATAGTGCTGTGGATAAAAACAAATCCTCTGCACTGCAGCATCATCTTATATCACTATTGTTATCCCCACAATTTTTTCCCCTTTTTATACTTACTGTAGACATTTTGCTTTATCCTGAGGGTTTGTGATATTAATTTTTACATTGTTTCACAATAAACAAATTTTTTTGCACATAACCCAACTAATTGGGAGTTGATTGTATATATTTTAAAAACATGTGTAAATGATTATTTAAGATTACATAAGTATGTATTGTTAAATATATGTTTTTATTTGCTGCTGTAGTGTTAAAAATTGAAGACAAGTTGAATTAATGTATCACCTCACAACAATTATTAAAAGATCTTGGCTGCTACAGTATGCTATAGGAAAATAAAGATAAAATACTAATAAGCTTTCTTTGTGTTTTTCAAGGTATGTGCCTACCCTAAATTCGTCGTTTTGGTGAAAATTTTTGAAAATTTTTTATTTATTCATTTTATAGGGCAATACATTTAGGTTTCCAAAAATACTTTATTTTTGTTTTTACGATAACTAGAAGAAAAGTTATAGTATAAAAAATAAACCAGAAGTAAATTTTTGGATGCCGGAAGTTGGCATTTAAATGGTCGTAAAAGTGTAAACAATAATTCAGAAGTCAATTTCCATTTGCGGTTTTGCAGCTGAAGATGATGGTTCGGTAAAACCATCGAAACTAGTCCTGTGAAAATTTTGTGAATATAACGCTGATTTTTGTTGTTTGACTTCTGAATTAGTATTTATTCGGCGTGTTATTGTGTCTTAATTTGTAAACAATAAGTTTAAACAACTATTTTCTAATTATTAAACAATATAAAAGCTGTAAAAGCAATGCATCTTTCACTCTGTGACACTTTGCTGATAAAATGCCTAAATGGGAAGACTCAAAACAATAATGAGTGTTTTAATAACCTTTCGAGGACTATTTTACCTAAAGAAACCTTTGTCCAACTGAAAACATTGCTTTTAGGTGCACATATTGCTGTATTATTATTTAATTCAAGATATTCAGGACTTTTACCTATTTTCAGGTATATAGAAATAGAAATTAATCCCATTATGCTTGAAAGCTACATGGGAATAGACAAACAGCGAATTCAGTTATTGAAACGTCTATCTCTAGTGCTACAAGCAACAAAGTTATCCAGAAAAATGGTAAAAGAAAGTCAAAATTAGTTAAGAATGAAGTAAAATTAGTTAAAAAAGCTTGTAGTGCGGCCTAACCCAACAAAAAAAAAAAAAAAAAACAAAACAAAAAAAAAAAAAAAAAAAAAAAAAAAAAAAAAAAAAAAAAAAACAAACAAAAAAAAAAAAAAAAAAAAAAAAAACAAAAAAAAAAAAAAAAACAAAAAAAAAAAAAAAAAAAAAAAAAAAAAAAAAAAAAAAAAAAAAAAACAAAAAAAAGTTAAAGGTCTAAAGTGGCTACAAAAATTTTTTTCTAAAGTGGCTACAAATTTTTGTGTATATTAAGTCGGGGGGGGGGGGGGGGGGGGGGGGGGGCATTTTCTGGGGGGGGGGGGGGGGGGGGGGGGGGATTGGCGGGGGGGTTAATTTCTCAAAATGTATTTAGACTATTGAAATGAAATTTTGCCAAATGTTTTTTCATATGTAGCTGTGTTTTGTAGCAAATATGACCTCTTTTATTTATTTTGATTTTATTGGGACAGTATTTTGAAGAAAAGAGGATTTTTTTTGTTTTAATTTGAGTTTTTGTACTAAGTTTTGAATATTTCAAAAAGTAAGTACAGCAAATCTTTTGTTACAGAACACAGATAAGTATGTTATTTATGTACTGTGCCAAGATTATTGAAGTATATTCATTAGAATCTATTATAGGAGATCTGGCATAAATGAAAATTTTCACAAAAATTTTACTAAATATTGCCTATATTTAAAAAAAAATAAATAAATAAACGTTTTATAAAATCCCATTTAAATTCATAGTTTTATATCCCATTTTACTCAAAAACATGTGTGTTTAATTAAAATTTTATTTATTTAAAAAAAAGTGCTTCGTATGTAGACACATACTTAAACGAGTTAGTTCTGGATTCCTTTACTATCATGAAATTCTGTAGTAAGCAAATCTGAAAATTTGATCCTTTTGTTATATCTACATTATTGCCAGTGGAGCTGTCAGTAAAGTAATAATTCAGCACTTTTATTCTGACACCTATTCAAAAGCATATTATAATTTCAACTCAAATGTTTTGTGAAGCATTGGATTAATAAATATAAATTTGTCAGAGAATGAATGTAATACAAAGTATACCTTTGAAAATATTCTTGACTCTGATGAAACAAAGCTTGTATTTTATCACTTGGAGTACTGTGTAATAGTATCGAAAAGAACTGTGTGATTTAATTTTTTGTAGTTAATTGATACTCTTATCATTTAATTGCTAAATAGTTGCATTTTAAATTATGTATAATGAGTATAGTTTAGAATTGATTTAGTCCTTCCAAGAACTTCACAAATGACTAAAATTTGAGAATACTGATATTTCATCCTCAATCTGATTATTGGAAGTGAAACAGTCCTGTCACCTTTTGAAATTTCTATAGTTAAGCTATGTGTAATATGAATACAGACCACTTTTCCTCCCCTCTAGAAAGTTTTCCATGATGATATTATTTTCTGGAAAAATATTAGCAAATATAGGCATCTTGAATGCTTTGCTATAATTAACTTTTTAAATCATTTTTTTTTTCTCAATGTGTAATTAGAAGCCTGAATGTTGTAACAGCCAAGGCTCAAACATTCAGAGCAAATATTGCAATCTTGATTTCTTCAACAATTATAATAAAGAGTTTGCAATATTATACATATATAAAATATTCAGCATCTGAGAGAAGATGAAAGCATTTCCTAAATAGCAGAACTTTTCCACACCCAAGGACATGTTTACAAATGATAGTCCTTGTGTGAGTTACCTAATCTAATCTTTAAATTAATTTAACTGAAAGACATGTCTTTTGTATTTCAATCAAATCAAAGTTGTATCAATTTCTCTTTTCAGAATTTCTTTTATCATCTTTATTTTTCTGTATTGTTTACTATATTTTTAGATATCAATGTATTGTTCTAATTATCTTCTCTTGTTGCTCAGATTTTTTAATCACCTTTTGAGTGTTTCCTTTAAGGCCTGCATTTGAATTATCTTTTCTTAGATTTCTCATCTATTCCTGTTTCAAGTTATTTTCTATGCATAGTTCAGTTAACCATGTTACAACTGAGTTTTTTCTGTATCAGTTCATGTCACTTCAAAGATATGTGAATCGGATTGTCTTCAGGTTATCTTATAAATTTAATTATGTCCATCAAAATCTTTCCAAGGATTAGCATTTTATGCTGCATGATAGTTGTCCCTCATTCTCCCAGTCTGCTTTATAAATTCATATATGTACATAAGCCTCAAGTATTTTTTGCAGCTGTTGTATATTTGGCCTAGATTTAGAGTATATTTGGCCTAGATTTAGAAAAGGTTTTTGACAATCGTTATCAAAAAATTAAATTCTTAATTGTTTATAGCATTCTGCATTCCAGAGAGTGCTGTATATAATTATTCACAAAAATAAGCCAAACTGTTTGAATAAATTTATAAAGTAATAGGCATGTTGAGTATATAAGTTATTCATTCTGAGATTATATTTTATTAGTAGCATATTTTATGCATTATTTTCTGATATTTTGTGTTGTATTCAAAGAAAAAACTGCCGTGAAAATCAATGTGCAAATTATTATGTAAAAATAACTTAATTTTTTTCAAAATCAAATTTCCTTCTGTGTTTTAAATGCTTTTTTCTTGAAGGAACAATATGAGAGGTTTCTGGTTGGTGTGTTTTCCAACAATGTATTTGCTCTTAAGTTTTTGAAAGTTTCCTTCTTTTTTGTAACAATAGTGCATTAAGAACCTGTCCCTCCCCCCCCCAAAAAAAAACTTTTTTTTTTTTTTTTTTTTTTTTTTTTTTTTTTTTTCAAGTATTAGATAATAGAATTCAAGCTCAGAATTTTTTAGTACATAAAGTGTGAGGAAAAGAATTTGTTTCAGAATTATTTTATATTCTTTAACCTGATTTATAATGTATATAGAAATAAATGTTAAATAAGTAATAATACATATGTATGCTTTTATTTTCCAATTAGTTTTCTTTAGATCCTCACTGTTGTATATTAAGAATCTAATTTTTCTTTTCTTAGGTATTTTTGCTCCTATAAATAAAATATCAAAGTATGATCCTTCACATCATAGTCGAAATAAAATATCTTCAATGGCACGAAACTCCCCTCCTCGAAACATATCATTTTCCAAAGTCAATGTCTCCCATGTTACATCTAAAATAGAAACAGGTAAAGTATTTATGCATGTTTAAGTGTGTTTATAGTAATTCAGTGTATCCATGACTTCCTTTTGATACAGCTACGATGTACACAAACAACCTTGCACCAAAAAAAAAAAAAAAAAAAGTGGGGTAGATCTATATCTCCCCTTCTACTGGGCCAAGTGTTGAAATTTAAGTTGTGTTTTCCATGTCTCGAAAGTGCTTAAAGCACATTTGGCATTATTACCACTGAAGTGCATAACTGGAATGCAGAATGAGCTCATTGATGACCATTGAAAAGTGAATTTCTTTCGGTTGCTGTAATTTATATTTATGAAACTCCAAGTTGTGGAAAGTATTTAGTCATTCTAATTTATTTTCATTCCTTAAATTGTATCTGTATTTCATTACCTACATTCACTAGCTGATATGTTATTCTTTTTGACTTAAATGTTTCTTTATATGTTTATTGCTAATATTATTTTATATATATATTGCTAATATACTTTTATACGTTTATGCAAAGTAACTGTAGCATTATGATCTTAACCTTTTAGGTCTTTCAAGTATTAGGCATCGTCCAAATTCCCAAGATTCCCATGAATTTTCTATTGGTGATAGAGTACTCATTTCTGGTCATCGTAAAGGTACAATACGTTTTGCAGGTGAAACAGAATTTGCATCTGGTAAGTTTAAAAGTAGGTTTTTGTTCTTCTAATCTGTAAGTTTTCATATGTACGGTCTGTTATAACTTTATATAGTTCATCTGAATTTTAACCAAATGCTAACATGTATCTCATCAAAATTGATTTTTAGTGCTATAAAATCAAGAAATTTTAGAATAAAATATAAATTCATGAAGTATATTTACATTAAAAGGATTACTTAAGATTTTTAAGTGTTTACTTAATAATCTTTAGTAATCCTTTTAATGTTAATTCTGTTAAAACTTCATAATTAAAAGAAACACAGAAGTACATAAGAGCTTGTTTTTAAAGTATTCATTTATGTAAATTACTGGAGTGGAATATGATGAGAAATTCTTCTTATTTCAAACCCAGTATTAATGAAAAAGCACTAAGTTGAAGGAAATTTCATGCTATTAATGAAAAAGCACATTGCTTTAGGTTTTATAGTCTCTTCAGGCTAGCTGACTCATTTTAAGAAATATTATGGTACCCAAGCATATGTTTTGAAGATCGTTTGCCTTCCATTATTTACCGGCGGCAGCATCATTTCATTCTTGTATCACTTAGAAACCATATGCTGAATGACAGGTTATTTGAACCATTTACTTTCTTTCAGTGCAGTGAGAAAGCCTTTTTCATCTACTTTTGTAACCTTAAATCCAAATTCAGGGCATCTTTACTATAAGTGCTCACATGACTTTATTATTGTAATTGATTTTGTTTCTAAGCCTTGCTCTTAAATTACTTTTTTGGTGCACTTTTTTTTTTTTTTTTTTTTTTTTTTTTTTGTGTGTGTGTGTGTGTGTGCATTGTGGCAGTCTTAAAGTTATTGGTCTTCATTTTTAATCATTTTCATATTCACTCCTTCAGTACTTACATGCTAAGTTTTTCACCTGGAATTTATTATTGGAGATTTTCAGGAGTATATTGATTTCTTCCCTCTCTCCTATAAAAGCATGTGTAAACTGAAGTGGAAAACTTCCGGTGAAGTTCAAGTTTACTTAGACCTTCTTGTTCTGTGCTATGGATATGGCTTTAGCCAAATGGTAAACCTAAGTTGTTACAATTGCAAGTCCGTAGTTGCACTACAATGAAAGTTGATCACCATGGTCGTGAAAATACTGAATGTTGACAGCTAGTGCAAGAATGAGACTGCTTCATTTGAGAAAGGTGCTAATCACCGAAGAGTAATTTTAAATTTGATGACATTCAAACACCTTATACAGTATATACTGCATTCTGTAGGACAAACATCTTATACAGTACATGCTGCACATTTTTGCCAGTTGTTACTGGATTGCTGTTGACACCTTAGTTTATTTCATCTGAGTCCGAGAACATTGTCATTTGAACATAAATGTGTTGACTTTATTAAAGTCATTTTCAGTTCTGTAGCAGATATAGTGTTTTTGTTTGGAGTTAACCATTTGAGGTTGTGGATCCATCCTCTAATCAAGTGCATAGGCTGATTATGGCTGTATTAAGACATGTAATGCCTTCTTTAAGAGTATGCAAAGAACCATTAGTGTGACTGGAGTTCAGCAATTTACGAAGGTCTAATTGGAGATTATAGTATTCCTTTATGAAAACTGTATTCATTGGTGATAATAAGATTATACCAGTAAAAAAATTAATCCCACATATGAGTGATATGGAACTGGCTTGGTGAATATTACTGACTTAAAGACATAAAAATCACTATTCAGTGATCTCTTCACAGATGTTAAAAAATTGTATAATTCCTACTATGCACTTTTGAAGTAGTAGTAGGTAGACCTTATCAAATAAATGCCTTGTAGCAACATCCAATGAACAAGTCAACATTATGGATTATGATCATGGCAGCTTTATATACTTTTCAAAATTCTTATGAAGCTTCATTAATTTAATGCTGTATTGAATAGGGTCTACCATGAAAAGTTTATTCATCAGCTAAGTGTACCTTATGTTCCTTATCTTATAACATTTCAGTTTGTGTATAAATCTGAATATGCTGAAAATATGTATAAATAAATATACTATAAAATAATTTTATAAAAGTAATAGTGGCAACATAACTGAAGAATAACTATAAATAAAATGTGCTCGCCTTTTTTTAAATTATGGGAATAATATTTTAGTAGAGAAATTTTTTTAGCTGTAATACTTTATTGTAGAAATTTAAAACTGCCTACAAATAAACATGGTTTAAGCAACATTTGAGTCTTCTAAGAAATGTAAATAATGAATATTAAATTTTGAAATGGTTTTAATAGACATATATCATCATTTTTAAGTAATTCAGATTGAAGTTAATAAATGGCAGTTTGAATATAATTTGAACATCAGATTAATTCAAATGTTTACTTGCATTTTGGTTATGATTAGAAGTTTTAATATTGACTAATAGGTGCAGGATGTTATGCCACTCCTGTTAATGTTAGCAATGGCAGAAAATTTTTGTGATGGTCAGAATAGAAATTATTTTTTATTTCTAGTATCACTGAACTTGATCTTGAAAATATGGAAAAGCAAAATATAAGTGCATGCGATTTCAAAATGGAAAAAAAGTGTGATAAATTTCATTTAGTAATTAATTGTATTAACATTAATATGAAACAATTTTACTGTTAGAAATTATACTTGGCAATAATATATATGATTTTGGATATGATCCCATATTATGGCATTGGTAGAAGGTTTACATTTTATACTGCTTTTCTTTGTTGTTAGAAGCAGTGTATGATATCTTTTCTTATTGATGGCAAATCCTAAAAGGAAATTTTTGCTTCAAAATAAACAAACAGTTGCAAAATGCAATGACTTTCACAGGAAATAAAGATTTATTGGCAGTCTGTTTCACATTCATTGGCATGAACATTTGCTGAGACTAATGTGTATTTTTTAACCTGATAAAATTTACATGAGGAAAAATTTTTACTTAATGTATGACAAAACTGAAAATTATTTAAAATGTGTATAATGCTGGTTTCATTTGCAAACTCTGTATATTATTTGTTAGCTGCATTTCTGATCTGCATTAAATTAAAGTTTCTAGGATGTCTGTTAAGTTTAAATTTGCATATTTTAAAAGGTTTCTGGTATGGTATTGAACTTGACAAGCCTCAGGGAAAAAATGATGGTTCAATAAATGGTGTACAGTACTTTTCTTGCACACCTGGCTATGGGTTATTTGCGCCACCTCACCGACTGTGCAGGTAAGATTTTGTTTTGTTTAAATATATAGGATGTATTGCAATACATATATATTATGGCTTTAAGTGATTATTACTTCAATAAATTTATGATTTTCAGGAGTATCTGAAGCATAAAAGTTATGATACTTATGTATTATCTTATAATGATTAGTGATGCTATGCTAGTGGGCTTACGTTCAAAAAGTGTGTAGTGTTTGTGCAGCGACAGGGCACTCAAAATTCACAGTGAGCCAAAAATCCTCTTGAGAGTTTGGTGATAGGAAAATAAGTAGTAGATCCTCTGACAACCTCTTGTGTGTTCTCTGTCAAAATTAGAGCGAAACTGTACTTGAATGACAGGTTGACAGGTGGTGCTATTCTGCATCCCACCCACTCCTACCTGTACCTGACTGCGAAATTGTCACCAAAATGGATGATTTAGCACCAGTTATAGGAAAACATGTCTTAACAACACCCTCTCAACATCAGCACTTTCGTTAGATGAAGGTGAATTCATCAAGGTGAATTGGTAGAGCTTGATTTATCTGAACAAAGAAAATGCTATTGAAGCAATGCGAGTTTATTGGCAAAATCATAAGATGAGGCCAATGTTCTGTAAAAACTGTACATGATTTGGTAAAAACTTTGAGGAAACTGGATACACATGTGGTAGATTGTGATCTGGATGGCCATGTGTCCCTGTTTAAGTTGTTGCAGAAGCACATAATACGATTACCGCAGGTCTATTGCATACTGCAAGAAGTGGTCCTGCAGTTTGGATATACTGAAAACCACAGTCCTCAAGCTTCTGTGCTTGAGGATGCAGATGTTTCCTTATCAATTTGTGCATATCTAGATGTTTGTTTATAAGCTGAAGATAACGAACAGCATGTTGGCTTTTTGAATTTTTTTGTCATCAGATATGATGAAAATAATAGGTGGCTGCAGCAAAAATTATGGATGGGTGAGATGCATTTCTTTCTTAACTGGGAATGTAAACTCCAAGAACTGCATTCACTGGGCTGAGAAAAATCATAACAATGTGGCACCAGTTCCTTACACGAAGCTAATGTGTAGTGCAGCATTGCAAGCACATTCATTCTCAATCTGTACTTCTTCAAAGAGCTCACTTCCACAGGTATGAAAACTTGCTTCATCATAAGTGCTCGATATGCAACAATGTTGCATAATTAATAATTCTAGAGCTGAAGTAGCAAATTATCTTTAATGAAATTCTATGGATGCAAGACAGTGCCTCCTCCACATATCGCCACATGTGTTTGGCAAGTGCTGCAACAATATTTTAGAGTAATCTATCTCTAAAATATTGTTGTAGTTTCAAGGGCACCATGATCCCCTAACCTCCATCAAATAGATTTCTGATTTTGGTGTTATCTGAAATCTAAGGTGTACTCATCAAATCCGTGAGATTTGTCAGAATTGAAAGATGCCATAAAACATAAAGTTGCACACATTCCTCCTGCAATATTACATTTGTCATTGTTGTCAACAATATTGTGCATGCAATACATTATCATCTGTGAAGGTGAGCATGTTGAAAACTTAATTCCAGTAATTTTTTTTTCCCCCATCTCCTAACTTGTTTTGCCATTGGTCCTTTACAATGCTCTTCTTTGCTAATGTTTTATGCTGACAATTTTCATCATGTATTAGTCCAGTGCTGTGGTTTTTCAATGCACTGATCAGTTTGCACAGGAAAAAGTGGCTGTTACCATTCAAAATTTCAAAATTTTTTCATTGTAACCATAACTGTGAGAGATCTGTTATTTTAAATTATCACAACCGCGAGCGCATACCTTCAAATAAGAATATCGGAAATTTCATTTCAATTGGTTGAGCAGATGGACCACTAGGGCTTCATATATTCGGAAAGTTTTTTATTGTATGTCAGAAAATTAAATACAAGATAGTTTTTTTTTTAATTATTTACTACTTCTCTTTGTTATTAGTTCTAAATTTTATTAATATAACTGTGATAATTAACTAATAAACCATACCATTAAAACTATTAGAGGACTTCACTTGGAAGAGATTTAGAATAAAGCTCTATCAGCTGCTTTTTTGCCTGATTTTAATTTTTATGTTGGCTTCTTTCTTTTTATATTATACAATATGTATAACATCTGCTTAAGTGTTTCTTTTTAACAGATTTCAGGATTCTTGATTGCATGTAACTTTTATGCAAATTCTTCTGTAAGATGATCACCTGCACAAGAGGCCAAAATGATCTGGAACAGTGGGTGGTCATCATAGAGAAGATTCTTGGTATTTTAATACATATGTGTTTATTTAATGCATTATATACAAATAGATACCCATATCTCTGTCTTATCAGTAGTTTATTATTATTACTATTATTATTATTGGACACAGATGGTTTAAACATTCTGAGGATGAATCATCTGATCAAGATTCTGCAGATTTAAGCATGAGCAAGAGTTCTACTGGTTAGTTCAAATATTTCTATTTTCTATTTTCATATATGATTTTGAATATCTGCATTTCTTTTAAACTTTTGTTATTATTATTTCAGAAGGTGAGAATGGAATTCTTAGCCCAAGTTCTCCTCGTTCAATGTTGACAAATCGATATTCTATGAGGTATGTTTGTAATTTTTAACTTACTGTGATGTATCTGAAATATGCATTAAATCATAAACATATGCTCTTGTTAAGGTGCTATTGAATTTGAAAAAGTGCATATGTGCACAACTATAAAGGTATAATTATTTATGATTATTTAATTAATTAATATATGCACAATTAATTAATTATTATTATTTTTTAACTCCATGAACAGAATTTTTTGCAGGATAATTTTGCACTTTGGATGAAGGTAGGGCATGCTAAAATCTATCCTTATTTCTTGTACTGTTAAATTAAAAGTTTTCTTTTAAGGCATATCAATATAATTGAAGTTTTAATTACTGTGCACATTTATGAACCATGGATTTGTAATTATTGGACCATTATATCTTAGATTTTTAAATCCATTTATTATCCAAGAGTGAAATTAACCCTTTGTACTCGAGGCCTTTTTTGCTCATGCAAACTAGCAACTTGAGACGATTTCGGTTATATTAGTGAATAACTAATATAGCTTTACCTTTAATTTCTCTAAAGCTTAAAATCTATATTTCTTTCTCCCCCCCCCAGAGAATGCTATTCTAAGACTAAGCTAAGATTTGGCACTAAGAACATAAGCCGAACCTGGTCCACGAAAGTACTTCAGATAAGAATATCTTATCGTAAATAAACAGATCTAGTTTCAAAATGCTGTAGCATAAGTACAGTGCACATCGAATACATGCATCAAACCTCTTGGGTGCTGTAGGGGCACCGTTCGAGTTGACGCTTCAAATCAGCCAGGTGCTGTTGTCAGCACCGCTCAAGTGGACGCTTTGAACCTGCAGGTGCCATAGGGGTGCCACTAGAGTGGACGCTTCAAATCAGTGGGGTGCTGCTCAAGTGCAAAGGATTAAAAAAGTGGATATACTAGAAGAAAGTATGCTGAAATGAAAATGTACTATAAGTGCATGTTGTAACATCAGAACACCCGTGTTGGGTGAAAGAAAAGATGGGTTGTCTTTTAAAATATTTATTTTTAAAACTTAATAAAAAATTCTTGAATAGTAATTAAAATAACAAATCATTTCAGCCATAAATTGTACAAAGGCTGCTGACGTGGCTAGGATGCGTCTGCTTTCACTCGTTTACAGTATCAAAAGCTTTTACACAAAGCCCTCTCTTCATTTTTGTTACAACATGGAAAAGAAACTTAATTAGTCCTTTATGTCCAGAAACCACACCAAGGGGGTTTCCGCTGCACCTTTCTTCCAAAGGTCTGCTGTCCATTCTGCCTCTGACAACAGATATCTCTGATTAAGCACCTGGAAGTTCAAGGGGTGCATATGTCTGAACGTCACAACTCCTACCCTCCCTGGAGGGTGGGGGGAGTTTCAGAACTCTAATTCATTGTACCTTACCACAGCAAGTCTTAATAATAAAACTAATAATTATTTGCAGTAATATTTTTTCACAGTGATGGGCTAAGTACCAAGGATAAAAATGACAGGAACTATATTGAAGGCAGTAAAAAACATATAAACAACATAATACTAAAAACTAAAGCTTAATTACACAGATCCCATAAAAGAACGTATAGTTTCTGAAATATGTAATATACAATATACATTCCAAGTTTGTGTTAGTTATATTTCTAGCCAGGCTGAAAAGGGAAACCTTGCAGATTTTTAATTTTCAGTTTGTGGAAAATCTCTCAATGGTAACCCAACTACTACATCTGACCTCAAGCTACATTTACAAGCTGCATGAGAACTACTACATTTGGCATCAAAATAAATATGTACGTTTGGCAAGTTGGATTTACATCATTCATGAAGTAGCTATATTTAATCCCTTTTGACCCTTCAGTATGAGGCACTAGTATAGATAAATGATGAACTGGGAATTCTTCCACTTTCCTTGGTAAATTTACACTACTTGGTGTCTTGGACAATTCTCCTATGGAATTTTTAGGCATTTGCAATCACCTGAAAGAAAAGTTTATCGTGTTGATCTACTGCTAGTGTTTTGGTGGTTCTGTTTCCTAACAGATAATGACTGGGATCCAATTCATTTCAAATGACTGCTGCCTTTGTTGTTACTTGGCCAAAAGTTCCTTCTATTGTAACGTTTGCTAAGAGTAAACAAATTGGGGCCTCTTCAAACGAGTGTTTTACCCAAACAGTCTCGCCCATCAGCATCAAAGGAGTGAGATATTTCTTGCATATTACGTTAGTGCATGACCCGGTATCTTTCAAAACTGGTAGATCAAAACCGTTCACTTTAGCTATCGCTAGATATGGGGCTAAACAATCTTCTTCAATCTCCTGGACTCTGTTTACAATAAACGGAGTTTTGAGATCCTTTTTAACTTCCAGACATTGAGGTCTTAAGTGTTCGGTTGAACCACAAGAATAACACTTAAGTAGTCTTCTCATATCAAATTGACACTCATTCTGATTCCGGAGATGTTCCTTTCTGTCAGAGGCATATCTATCTTCCCCTCCAGACTGGTGATACTTTTGCAGATCTCTTGAATTTAAATGATTTTTATTTCCCCCGTTGTGACTCAGAACTATGAACAAGAGATATCTTCTTCCAAGTTTCACGTATGTTTTCATACTCTTCTAGCATTTCTGCTAATTTATCTGGAGTCGTTATCTTCGACCATTCGTCAATAAAATGCTGCCACACTTCGAGATTTACACGGCGCTTCATTTGGTCTGTTATCATGAGATCCTTTAAAAGTTCAAAATCGGTAACTTAAAAACCTGCGATCTATTCTTCAAAATAATTCCTTAATTTAATCTCTCCGAGTGGTTTGAGTGTTTTTCTGGGATTCCCTAAATTTGCTGCGAAATTTTTCTGGACTAAGCTTAAACCTTTTAAGCAAGATCATCTTTACGTAATTGTAGTCATGAGCCTGCTGCTCTGGTTCTCGCATAATCAGCTGAACTATATCAGTTGGCAAAATTGTCAATAAAACCAAAACCCATTCTGATTGGTGAAGATCACACGCTTTGCACTCAAACATGACTAGATACAAACTAATGTCATTCTCTTTAGGATCAAATTTTGGAATCTTTTTTTTTTTTTTTTTTTTTTTTTTTTTTTTTTTTTTTTAGATCGTAATGGCTTTTCTTAAGTCCATTTTCTTCCTTCCCGCCATTTACGGAGTCATTTTCGTTAGCGGCTAGTAATCTTAACTTTGATAATTCAAATTCCATTTCTTCTCTCCTAATTCTATCTTGCCTATCTGCAATTCTTTCCTGCCTTTCTTCTCTCCTAATTCTATCTTGCCTATCTGCAATTCTTTCCTGCCTTTCTTCTTCTCTCCTAATTCTATCTTGCCTATCTGCAATTCTTTCCTGCCTTTCTTCTTCTCTCCTAATTCTATCTTGCCTATCTGCAATTCTTTCCTGCCTTTCTTCTTCTCTCCTAATTCTTTCCTGCTCCTTTTTTTCTTCTCTCCTAATTCTTTCTTGCTCCTCTTTTTCCTTCTCAAGCCTCGTTGAAGTGATATTTTCGAACAGGCCTTTCACTAGTTCCTCCTGATAGGATTCATTTCCCATAATCAACTATCTTAAATCCAATATCCTAAGTTCAGGGCTAACTTTTTTCCCTAAATTTTCAGCCAATGATTTAAGATCCTCTTTCATAACTTTTGCTTAGAATGCCATGATATGAACAAAATTATGCTAACAACTTAACAATTTTAGTTCCCTCACACTACATATATATAAAACAAATATCATTTTTACAAAGAGAGAGTAAAATTGAACCCTTAATTTTTTTCACAACATTTGTTTACAGATCTTAAACAAAAACAAGACAGTTTAAACTATAATATGCACATTATGCGTTCAAATAAAAATTTGTGTACTTGAGGGCTCATGATACTATAGATAATATTACCTCTTAAAAGTTTTAAATTCAGTTGCGTTAAACTCAATTGCTTATGATAGTACAATATACTTTCATCAAAATTTGAGGTATATTAAAATATGCATTCAAAGGTTAATTAAAAAAAATATATCTACATGCTCATAACTAAACGTTAATATGACAACCGTTACAATGAAAGATACTGGGGATTTCTAGCCTTCCCCTTTTACTCATTCAATAGAAAAAATTTTCAATTTTTATACAAATAATGTTTTACACACCTTAACTGAAAATTCTAATATTTATAATATTCAAGACATCTTAGAAATGAATGTCAGAATGCCACCTATCCTTAGAACCTTCAAAGTTACAGTAATTCTCCTTTATACATTCAATAATACAGTCAAAAGTCTTTAATCCGGACTCGTCGGGACTTCGGCGATTCCAGATTATCGGTTTTTCCAGATTATAGATCATCAGTTTAAATCTGGTAAGATGGCATGCAGAAATTATAAAATTAAAAATATGAAACCGTAATTTATGAAATAAAAAGCAATTATGATCTATAGGGTATCAAAATTTACAAAAAAAAAGCTTAATATTTATTTGTTAAAACATTTCTTTCAATGCACACATGTGTAAAGCATACATTACGCATAGTCGAAATTAGAAAATTGCAACCAGAAAACTATTTGATGTGTATTCGTGATATTTATAATGACAAGGAATTTGATTAAATCATATCAAAGATGGAGTACATCAAGATGAAATACTACATTTAGTAAGGAATTATAAGCCGAATAAAATAAAAACATCTGCCCTGAAGATAAGGATAGTGCTGACAGATCAACATCCAGTTCATTGCGCGCCGCGACGTCCCCCCCCCTCCTGCAGAGCAGTGTGAAATTGATAAACAGATTTCGGAATAATTAAAGAAACAAAGGATATGCCTTTATCCATTTTTTGCAGCAATTCCACTGTTTTGTTTGAATGGACATCGAATCATGGCTTTCACTTTGTAGATCCTTTGACAGCTCCAGAATTGGAAATTGTTTTTGACACAATCGAAAATTCAAGCTTACCTTTATAAAATTGCTCTAACAGTCTGCAAAAAATAATAAGCCAGATCCAATTAGAAGATTAAGGAACAACGCAATCGGCAACATTAACTGAAATGGATAATTAGATAATTTTAGCCTAGCTTATACCGTCCGTTATACATTAAACGCGAATGCGTAAACATATTATGCGCATGCCTTAATGTATTACGCGCATGCGTAGACGCATTATGCGTTTAAGCATGCGCAGAAAGGCTGTAGCTTTGAGGTTCGGATTATGGACGTTCTTATTTAAGACTTTTGACTGTATAAGCTTAATTTGAGCACAACACATTAATTTTCCAGATATCAAAAAATCTATTAACACAGATTTAAATTCTAAAATTTATACTTTCTTATTGCAACATAAAACCCAAACAGCACATTTTTTTAAGCTTTACAGAAAACAAAGTTGACTTAAAACAGTTATATGAACTTATATACTATACTAAATTACAGAAATTAATTAAATTAATTTATTGCCTCAATATAAAAATCCAAGGTACTTACCCGCCTCACCAATATATAGATCCTGATGATTCCGACACTTTTCACTACCGTAATTTCCGGAAGAACAGCTGCATCATTGTAAGCGCCGCACTTGCAAAAAATAATGGCGGGAAAAGAATTAAAATCGCACAGAAATGCCACAATAGATTAAATTGCGTGTGACATCGTGCACTGTATAGATGCAAAATCTCAACCTATATCCTGATATATGACATATCTGTTAAGAAAAATGCATGAAATGAAACCATAACTCAAAAATAAATTAAAGGTAAGAAATGTTGAAAATATATTTACGTTCACGAATATACTTACATTTACCCACTAAAGAAGGCCATATTTGTAATACTCAGACTATATTAAAAAAAAAATGTTTCAATAACGAAATATTAAATTTGGATGACAAAAGGAAATTTTAAATTTTACTTACAAAAGGAATTGCAGCAAACTATACATCATATGAAGCCATCAAAATCTGATTCTTTGCTATCTGAATTAAAAAGATTTAGTAAATCCTGATCTAAGTCCCAATTCTTCCAGATCATCACATTCATCCTCTTGGTTTACAGTCTCTTTATCTAAGGATATAATTTCAGCTTCTTTGAACCCTGCTATTATTGACGATGTTTTTACCGATTTTCTCGCACTTCCTACCCACTTTGCAACTTCTCCATAAGATGCTTTATGCATTTTACCACTTTTGGTATACGTATGCAATCCTTCACTCATCCAACACTCGTCTTCGGACTTCAGCTTTGAAGGATTTATTACCTGACAAATCTAATAGTTGTAAGATTTCTGTCAAACCACCAGGAATTATTGCTACGGTCATAGACAATTTTTCATATCAGGTTTTCACTGACTCAAGTAAATGAACATGCATCAAATCCATTGTCAATAACCCTTTATGTTGGAAGAAAGATCCCTTACGACACTGTCAAACTTTTGTGTAGCCACTCATGCATGATTGTTTCGCACATCCAGCCATTCTCGTTTGCACAAATAATTACGTCATTAGGAAAATCTCCCTTTGGAGTAGTTTTTCTGTTTAAAAATTATCATTGGCTTTAGCTTGTCACCGTTTATGGCACAAGCTAATGTAAATGACATTCTTTCATGCCCCGTCGTAAACACAGATACAGTTTTTGCACCAGTTTCACCAACAGTTCTGTTTGCAGGAGAGTTGGAAGCTAATGGCATTTCATCCATATTTATTATCTGTGACCGAAAGTTTTTTTTGTTTGTTTGTTTTTTTGTCGATAATATATGTCATATGTCACATATTTTAGAAAAGATGCCTTTTTATCCTGCCAGTCCATTGGTAATTGTTGCCCCACTGTTGTTCTAGTAGGCCCAGAAATATTTTTTTCTTTTCATAAATCTGCTACACCAGCAAGGCCCTCCTTTGAAATCATTTATGTTTATTTGTTTTGCTATAAATTTTGCTTGTAAGTGAATTTTTACAGTTGAAATTGCCATTCCCTTTCGTTGCTCCTTTATCCAGTTTGCAAGGTCGTCCTCTAGATTTGGCCACCTTACAGTACCACTTCTTTTGGCTCGTTTTCTGTTGTGGCATATTTTTAAGTTCTTTTTCAGAGAAGGATGGGTCCTGGAAGATTCATCGAATGGCAGAGGAGAGAGAAATATTCAAAATGATGAGAATGCTGATTTGAAAGGGGGAAGAATATTATTGTTCTGAGATCCCATTTAGGGTGAATAAGGCATGTAGGTCCATTCAAGAGAAAGAATGTAAACAAAATAACGTTCGCAAAAAGCAACTGAGTGGTCTTTTTTGTGGGAACAGTACCAGTCTATGTACAATGATCATCATCATGAATTATTTTATTTTTAGTGCACCTAAACGCCGCACCCAATGAAAATTTATGTTTTAAACACGTAAACGCTGCAGCGTTTCTTCCAGAAATTATGATACTTTACACCTTCACAATAATCTGATGATCTTCGACAAGAACACACTGCACTGAACACCATACACTGCACTGCACTAATTTTCTCAGGCACAACGATGATCACACATGTATCACTTTGTCACTACACTACACATTCACAATGATCTGATGATCTTCGGACAATGATTGTCCCACAGCTTGAATTGAATCCAGGAGACTGATGTTCTCTTTTATCAGGACTGACGTCCGTAACTTCTTTGTGGATTTCCGACTCGCACCACTTAAATATGAGCTGTGTTCAGGAGACTGATGTTCCTCTTTCTCCGGACTAGCATCTGTAAACTTTTTCGTGGATTTCGGATTCACACAGCTTAATGATAAGCTGTATTCAGGAGACTGTCGTTCCTCTTTATCGTGACTGGCGTCTGTAAACTTTTCCGTGGATTTCCGATCCACACAGCTTAACGATGAGCCGTATTCTCTTTTCGAACTGATGTTCGTAACTTCGTGGAAATTCAGAACCTGATGATCTGTAATCTCTGCATGGAATACGCCTTATGTATATCTGGGAATTTATTCATTCAAAACTGAGATAAGCTTTAAGAATGTGGGGAAAATAGATGTAAGTATAATAAATAACTTGTAGAGACATTAGGATTTTTTTATGCAGGAGAATGTGAGAAATTGAGCAATGCCTTCGCCGGGACTCGAACCACGGGCCTCTTGAATTCGTGCCGAAGAATTAATTGAACCATTCAACAACAAAGGCATGCTAAGAAGGCGGCAGAAATACCTTATAAACTAAACTAACATAATTCACACTTAACTTCATGTGATAGAAGCTAGACAAAATTTAGCAGAACAACATATCTTTAATCGCCAATCTCAGGATGCATCACCAATAGTGTACGTAGCGGAAGCTATAAGCTTTGTGATGATAGCTGCAAATTTGAAGGTTTTTCAGATTCTTCAAACAAAAAGTGCATTCAGTTAATGGAATTTGTGAAGAGATGTGGTAATAAATGATGATTACCAGAAGTTGATTTACCAGCAATTGTCAATCAATTAATTGATGACAAAATCTGTAGTATGGTTCTAAATCCAGAAATTATCATTATCAATGGTGGCAAAACTGACAGGTTGTTGAGAATGAAAACTTTTGATTGACAGTTTAGTGAGAATTCTCAATGCAGCAGTTACAGGACTTGGAATAGTGGAATTTTGTAAGTGAACAAGAAACTGTGTATATCTGTATAATTAAAGAGGAAGTATTAGTTCAAAAAATGAAAGAAATTAAACAACATACATTGAAAGAAATGTTTAATGGAACAAAGCAAAAAAAATATTGAGCAGCCCTTTTTTTTTTTGTTTGTTTGTTTGTTTGTTTGTAAATTTTGATTATTTTAAGGTCATAAATACTTCATTACCTCATAATTCACTATTTCTTTCACTAATTCTATTATATTACTAGATTTAAACTGATGATCTAACACCTAAAAAAAATCCCAAATCCAGAATCACCAAAGCTCTAATGAGTCTGGATCTCGAACTTGTACTGCATTATATTTATTCTTCTAAATCATGAATGGTAAATTTATTATGTCAAAATGTTTTCTGTAAAAGGTATAATAAAAGTTTTGTATCCACTTCAAAGTATTAGCTCTGATTTTTTAAACAAATAATAATGATTTTTGTTCTACACTTGCTTTTCAGTTAATGTATATTGCTTATTTTTGTTATTACAGGAGAAGTGCTAGGTTCTCTAACCAAACCACAAGTCCAAGTTCCAAAACCAGCTGTTGGTTGACTGTTGGGATCAATGTTTTTGTAAACAACGAAATTGGTAATATTATCTTCTGTAATATATATTGATTACTTGCATGCTGCAGATAAGATATTTTACTTTACAGCATTTTAGTTAAGCATGTTTCACTAAATGCTTCTTAACATGTTGACTGCCATGGCACTTTTCGGATTCCAGTCCGAGAAGCCAGATCGAATTAATCATGTTATATTATTAAAAATACTGATTATGGTTCATAACAATCATTAAAAAGTTTACAGGAATTTTTTTTTTTTTTTTTTTTTATTTTTTTTTTTTAACAAAAAAAAAGGGTTCTACGAATCTTGTGGTCAGCTTTTGTTGGACAAAGCTCTTTGCAGAAGCCCACTAAAAGTTGATTCGTACAGAAATGCTTCAACTTGTCGCCTCGGTACAGCTAAAGCAAGCGCTAAGGGAGTAAGTAACTTGTAGCGGCGCAAAAGTGGCAAGTCAAGAAATTAAGAGATAACTCATTTTGGGCATCCTAAAGAAGAGTACTAATACGAGTTATCTCATGTTGGGCAGTCAGCATGTTAATTTGAATAAATCTTATCATTCTGAACAACTTTTTGAAATGCATAATGAAAGACTAACATTTGTTTACCTTTTTAAATAACTTTTTATTTATTTATTGTTTTGTACTAAAAATAATTATCAATATTTCTTAACATATGTAAATTATATCTTCTAAATTTTACCCTAACTGAACATGCATAAATTCATATTATATGTAGTAAATTTAGATCCAAATGTGTTGATTATCTACCTATAAATTATGGATAGAAAATATATTCCTACGGATGATGTTAATGAACATTGAATGAAGATAATTCTACAGTCAAATATATGGCATTAGAAACGTATTTTGTTAATTAGGCTAGGTGAATGATATAAATATGTACAATATAAAAAAAAAAGTAACGAAGTTTAAAAAAATTAATTTTGCTAAAATTAATATACCTTAGTAATTTAGAATGCTTGTTTTATAGTTTAAATTACCCTTATCAACCCACTAGATTAATGCTTTTAATTTACTAGATATTACCTTAAATGAGCATGTTATATCACAAAAAATATATTTATTTTCATGACATTGAATTATTACGATTTTGAAAGTTAAAAAAAGTATGGATGCAAACACTTTGTCATACAAAATAATGTAAACAATTCAATAATGACAATTGTAAACATTGGCAGAACATTTGTCCGAGGGTAGAGATTATAGAACTGTAGCAGTCTACTACTTTAAAATAGGCAGTTCAGTCACTGTTCCCCATTTCCACATGCTTCTAAAAAGGACTATTGTGGAAGGTAAATGAGTTTTTTAATTTGCTAAATGAGTTCCTTAATTCTGTCTATGCAGTGATGATGACACACAGTAATGTTGTTGTTACTTGTGCTCACTTGTCTGACAGTAACAGCCCACACCCACGAAATTCCTCATGGCAAAGAGTGCACGATACACCTTACAGGTGACAGTGCAATATAGCTCAGTTCTGCCCCCAATTTTGATGGAGAGCACTTCGGGGGGGGAGTCCAAGGGTCTCCCACCCCTCTCCCCTTCCACCAAACCACACGAGAGGACTTTTGGCTTGCCGCATATTTAGAATGCCACCATGCTGCACCGACACTATACATTTACAAACATCCATGCCTTTTCGAGGGTTCAAACCTGGGCCCTTCGACACAGCAGTCAGCATCGCTAACCACTATAACGGTTGCGCTGCACATTACAGTAATGAATGAAGGGGCTAGCAGTGACCTTGAAATGCCTATTTTTAATTAACAAATTAAAGCACAGTTATCTACTGGTGGTAATGTTGTCTGTAATAGTTTTGGAGGTGTTCCATTGAAATTTTTTAGTGGAGTAGCATTTAAGCTAAATAAAAATTATGATATTGGTAGCATGATGATGGTATTTTTAATTTTTTTATTTTTATGCTAATCAAAATGTTTTATGATAGTAGTAAACATTAGTCGGGAGGTTTGAAACATTGGGTAATAATGGCCTTAAAACTGAGACCTAATTTTGTGTTCTATATAAATTAGAATCAGTGGCTTAAATTTATGAGGTATGACTTGATTTTACAAAGAAATCTAAACATTTTTTAATAGTCAAAGTACATATGAGTTTTCAATTATTAAATTTCATAAATTTGCTAAAAAAGCAATTAGTATATTCGCTAAATTTAATTGAAAAATGTGGACTGTTCTTATTCTTACAAGTCTTTTGCTTATGATCAAAAAGGTGAAAATATTTAATATTGAAAAATGTGTGTATATATGTATAAGTTACCAGTAAAAATTGGACTATAGGAATGAAATTTGAATTCAGATATAATTTCAAAAGTTCCTTGCATATGTGAAGTTATGCAAATGATTAGCATTTCAACATATATGAAGAAAGCATTTTGCAGCATTTAAGTGAACCATTATTCTTGCTCACAGGCAGTTTTTGCAATGTCTTTAAGATGTACTTTAAGATGTACTTGAAAATGCTACAAATAGTTGTCTATTTGAAAGAGAAGCTGCATCATAAACCTATTTGAAGCAGTTGGTCCAAGAGACATATTGGTTGCTATCTTGCTCCAAATTTTTTGTTAATTAGTCAATTTTAACTGCTGGGTAACAGAGAAGTACTTTAACCAGCTCAGAATGTCCCAGCTCAATCTTGATCACACCAATAGCATCACTACTGTTCATTTAATGCCATTTGCCATATTTAATGCATCTTGTAAATCATTCAGAAATTACTGATAAAAGCTAGATTCAGATTCTGACATCCTTTAAAAATGCTACATCTGACCACCTAACGTAGGTAAAGCTAACAAGATTGGTTTTCATGTCAGCTGTCCTTGACTTTGTGTAGGTATAGGCACATCGTCTTTAATGATAATTCTCACATCTTTCAGTATTATTAATTACTGTTGCATATGAACATGAGGATGAGTTTATCTACATTTATTGTCGGGTACAGATAGCCATCACACCTGGTATCACAATTTAGATAGCTACTTTCTCATGGTGCATCTGATCTCTAGTTGTGTTGCAAAACAGTCTGATAAGCTCACCTGTACATCAGTGATATTCTGGAAGCGGTGGCTTGGAAGCATGGGATATATATGCTGCCAAGCCACCCAAATATTACTTGCCAAGTAGATAGTGTTTTACCACATGCTACATGACACGTCAGTAATGTCTTTGATTTAGTAGCTTTTTGTAGCATTCCAGATCCTTGTATTTATTACTAATGGAATTCATCTGAGATGTACTGGGAAGGCAGTTCCAGCCTTCTCACCCCATGACTAAATTAGTTGAGCAGTTGTACAATTTTTTTTTTTTTTTTTTTTTTTTTTAATAGAGGCACTAAACAACTTACCTGACTGTGTTAGACCAAATAATAGCTTGCAAAGTAGCCATGGGAAGCTTTATCACTACTAAAGTATAATCCTGTTATTAGAGCATCTTTAAAAACACTTTTTTACACCAAAATTCTGGTCATATACATTTCTTCTCAAACAGTATATGCACTCCACATTTTGCAATTGTAGTTAAGTTTTTATGGATGCTTAAATCTTTTTAGAACATTGTTTTATTAACTTTGTGATGTGAAACAAAACTAGATTGTAGATAAAATTTAAAAAAATTAATAAATTGTATGCTTTAACTTTCAAAATTGTTTAGTTCGTATACTGTCAAAATATATATATGTAATCAAAACAAGTATTACATACTTCTTCCTTTAATATCCAACTCATCATCAGTGTCAAAGTATCAAATCTTGTAAACAAAGTGAAAAATGTTAGACATAAATGCAGTGAGCTTTTGTCTGTCTGTGCATCTAAATATATTTTTGGGAAAGTGTTTTACAATCAGAATAAATGCTCACAGTATGTAATTTGGAATTTTAGTAATAAGTTAGAAATTATATTTTTGCTAATAGCTTTGAATTAACAATAAATTTCCATTTTTCTATTCTCTTGAATTTATCATCCAGAAATTGAATAAATTAAGCATACATGTAATATGCAGAACTATATGTTATTTATTAATATACATATCATTGGAATATAATTTTAATTTGAAAATTTAACATAAAGTCTCTTGTAAAAGTCTTAAATGTTTAAGACAGAAAGAATATTTAATTTTTAAAGTTCAGAAAGAAATAAAATGTTATACTATGTTTGAATATTATTATACTGTTACCCACAAAATTGAAAATCTACATATATCTTTAAAATCTCGTACGTCTTTAAATCAACTATATTGATTTTCTTCAGGTGCCGTACGTTACATTGGACCAGTAGACTTTGCAGATGGCGTGTGGTTGGGTATTGAACTTAGGTCTCCGAAGGGCAAGAATGATGGTACTGTGCAAGGCAAAAGTTACTTTTCATGTCGTCCTGGGTATGGCTTACTTGTTCGACCAAACAGAGTGACTGTGCGGGGTATAAATGGTGCTAAACTTTTGAATGAATCATCGTCATGAATGGTTTTGTAAATGTAATGTTGTTTTGTATTTTTCCATTCTAGAATGATATTCATTAGGTTAATTCAATTATTATGTTTTAAATGTTATTAGAATTGTTTTATTCAAAACTTAAACTCTGAAGAGGAAAAATATAATTAAATTTTGTACATTAGTACTTTTTAAAAAATGTGGTCAATAAGTAAAATGCAGTAGAAAGTTCATAATTCATCATAAACCATTTATGCAGTTGCCAACTTTGCTGTTAAAACCAGAAGACGCCTGATTTTTCATCACATCTCCCATTAGATCACTAAATCTCTTGGTTTTAAAATTTTATCCTGTTATTTCGCCATAGCAACATGATGTTTGTGTTTTTACCTGTTTAATTTACAAAAAGAACCTGAACAGCTGATATGATCATGTGAATGCATTAGGCAAAGAAGAGTGCAAAAATAGCTTTCTTATATTGAATCTGTATACATGCTCAAATCGAAGTGAAGAGAAAGGGTCATTATTTAAGTGATACGAAGTGAAGATATTTTGTTTTTTGCTTCATTCGTCATTGTGTTTTAAATTTGCAGTTAGTTTTTAACTAATTATTCTTATTATTTGGCATCAGTTATTAATTTTATTTTCGTCATGTTTAAAAGTGCTTTAACTAAAAGCTTGTATTTCCATGTAAAAATTAACGAAGTTATAAATGAAGAAGCATTGTTTTTTAAATTTGCAGTTAGTTGTTAACTATTGTAATTAATCTTATTATTTGACATCAGTTATTAATTTTATTTTCATCATGATTAAAAGTATACTTTGATAACTAAAAGCTTGTATTTCCATGTAAAAATTAATGAAATTGTAAATGAATAGGCATTTTAAAGCAAACTTAAATTAGTTTGGCTTTCTTAAAATCATGTTGCTGCACAGTGTAAAAAAACCTCCCAGTTTTTCAGATTTCAAAGTTGACAGCTATGTATTTATATATATTTCCTAATTTATGAAGCTTGGGGAATCATAATTTGATGCCATTTTATTTTTCTGTAATTTAGGAAGTGTGTTTCATATTAATGGGCAATTTAGAGAAATAAAGAGTCCAAAAGCACAAGAGAGATTTAAAAAAAAAAAAATATTTAAAATTCAGTATTAGCTAATGCTCTAATTAGTTTTGGATTTTATTTAGCAGATTTTAAACGACCATACAACTTTGGGTATAATTAAATAACTGATTAGAATGAAATATATTAATTGATTATGAAACGTTTGTTGGTCTTTGGGAAATTTAAAAAAAAAAATTGGAAGTATAAATATGACTTTTGTATTGCATTGATTGTTGAGTGAAAAATTCCATTGAAAATAATTATTTAGACATTTATTTTTATGAAATATCTGAAATTCAATGCAAATTAATCTGTTAAATATGATCAGACAGTTGGTCCAATATTATCATTTTTATAAATGTAACTTGTTTAAAATATTTTTATTTTTTATGTAGATATTTTTATTAATAAACTTTAATTTATTAAATGTGAATGTTAAGAATAAAAGTAAGATTAAAAGACTAACATCATGGAAATCAGATTTCCATATAATTAATATAATTTTATCGAAATATAATTTTAAACTGTAATATCAGTTCCAAGTTATGAAAGGAAATTAATCTGAAGTTCATTTTATATCTGTTTTTAACAGAATATTAGTAAATCAGTATAAAATGATTAAATTTTATTCTGTCTTTTATGAACAGCATATGCGATTTTGTGATATATTTAAAATCTAAATTCTGCAAACCCTGTTCTTTTTCCTGTTGAATCTTATTGTTTTGTAATATTTTGTTATTCTTGATTTAATGAATTATGGGGGTTCTACTGCTTCACATCATTTTTACATTTCATACTTTTCATACAAGAAGCAATCTGAACATAAGGTTTTTCAGTTTTATCTAGTTTAGATTTCAGATAGAAAATTATTCCCTAAACAGTTTCTCAAACGTGTTAATGGAGATTGTATCAATCCTATAGCCTAATGCCTTTTGAAAGACAATGTTATGTATAAAAACCTATGCACTGTAAATCAGTTGTGCAAATTGATTTGTAAATATTTATTTATTTAACTCTTTAACAGTATGATATATGTAACTGATAGTTATCGAGCTTGATTGGCTGTTACATTCTGATTTGAGGATATGGTGCATATGTATTTTAAAATATACTGTGTTTTTAAAACAAAAATTTACAGAAAGAAAATGAAATTAAAGATTTTTCTAAGTTGCATTGCAGTTTTTTTCAAAAATCAAAAATGGCTTTAACTCTCGCATCGAAGTCGCCCCAAACGCCCAAACATTCAGACATCGCTGACGCCCGATAATTTTATACCCCCCTCAGTTACGCATTACTCATTGCTTTCAGTGTTGTTAATCATATGTCAAGCATTCCTTTGAAGCTACAAAAGTAGCTTCCTTGTTTTCCTTTGTTCCTTCCTTTCCCTTTACGCAGTATTTACTTTTTATGCCCAAAGTTGAAATCCCGTCCCAAGGGGGAACTTCAACAGGGTCAAAGCGTCGAAGAAAGAGTTCTCGCTTTACTTAAGTAAGGCTTTGTTAGGCGGTAGTATTCATGCATGGGGGAAGGAAAAGCATTCCAGGAGAAATTCTTAGATACGGGCGTTTTCGATGTTGGGGAATTGAGATTTTGCCCTCTCTCGATGCGAAAGAGTTAAATATCATTTTAAAATTATGCATTTCATTTTGTAAATAAATAGCATCCATTGCCAACTTAGTATGGCAGCGTTTTGTTGAAATAAAGTACTTTAGTTAAGCACAAGTTTGTAGAACATGAAGGTGTAAAACGGTCAAATATGAATTTAAAATAAAATTATGATAAGCCTTTTTTTTAACTAATTTGGATATGCCTTAAAGTCTATATGTTTAAGGGCAAATATGAATACTCGATAGTTATTGCTATTGAGGAATGTTGTTGATCCTGTTACTTAAAGTGTCTGGTATCTGTTCAACTAGCAGTAATGAATAAATACATTTCATGTAAATAGTAGTTCTTATAACCTCTTAGTTGTACTTTTATTTATAGTTTCACTTAAATTTGCTATGTAATTTGGTGTTAATCATAGTTTCAAAACCAATATATGAGATATTTCTATTTTAATTATTGTTAATAGAAAATGTTTGTATAATCATCCTGTCTCATCCGTGAATCATGATGTGGTAATTAAGAATTGTAAATACAGAGTTGTTAGCTAATTATTATCAGTGTATTAAATGTCTTTTTATACTTCATTAAATAGAAAAATCTTGTAAAAGTTACGTGTCTTTAGCTAAGATACATTTTGGTAATGTTTTGTATTTATTTGAAATGGCTTTCTGGTTTTCAAAATATTTGTCATTCAACTAAGCACTTTTTACTGTAGCCATGTTATTTTATATGTAAATACCTAGCTTATTTTCTTATCCTCATAATGTGATATGTAGACTGCCTTTCTCCATATAAGAGAACTTAGATATTTTATGCATGATAGCTGCATTAAATTTTGATAAATATCTCTGGATTCACACTTTTTTTCATCTGTTAAGGAAACATTCTCTGAATTATGAATGTTTCAATATTCTGTGTTATATTTTGTTAAAATTATTCTTAATTCTACTCTTTGAACCTTTAGGATCTGTTTCTAGCATTCTGTAAAAATAAATTATTAGCAGATACCATAAAATTTCTAAATAAATTTTTACATGTATCTATTTTTACTTGATAGTGATATTTTATTCTGTTGACTATCATCATTATATCAGTTTATTTCAACAGTTTGTTTGGTATCCCTAGATATATAGTTATAGGCTGCTGTTTTGCATCGTGCATTTAGTATTTTTTTAGCCATCAAACTAGAAAATTTTTATAAGATTTTTAAACTGTCTGTCATGTGTTTATAGGTGAGGCACATTAAAGGAAAACATAAAATTAGCCCTTCTCCAAGTAAATAAATAAATCAGTATAGATTTTACATAAAATTTACTACTCTTTTTTATTTGCTGTCATAATAAATTTTATTTGAGTCAGACTCACTTAGTTTTTCAAAATAATTACTGCTGTCAAAAAGAAAGATAACTATGGTTACCTCTTCCCTCCCCCAGTCCTGTACATACTGTTTGCGCTCACTATAGATTAAATTAATTTAAAAACTGACTTTCTCGTACTTCATTTGGCTTGTGAATGATGCTTTTGCATATGCATATCATGCAAATAATACTTTTGCATATACATGAATATTTGATTGATCTAGTAATTCGGTACTTTTGGAGGGATGCCATTCTTTTCTTAGCATTTTTTTAACCTGTAATATATTTTATTTTAACAATACTGATCAAAAGATTCATTTTCTACTCGGTATCTCTCATTGTTGTGTTTGTTTTTCTCCTTCCTTATGCAAAACAAAAACTTGTAATTTCTTTTGAAATAAAAATGGCTTTTTTTTTTAAATATTTTCAGATTTGTTTTCCCTTCACAGTCTAACTTGAGATCTCATTTATTTTAAATCTATTGATAGAGACTTTTCTCTTGTGGTTGTTGATAAAGCTGTCAAAATTCTCTTATTGACGACATGAAAGATATTTCCGTATTTAAAACAGGCAAAAGGAATCTTATTGTCATCTAATTTTTTTCTGCTATTGTTTGCATAATTCCTCAGATTCTTCAGAAATTCAACTTTCATGTTGTATTCTTTAAGAATAAATCTCTTTCATGATCTTTAACGACCAGTGGGAAATTTATAACAATTTTATCAGTGTGGTTTAATATATATCAAACAAACTAAGATAGCATTAAAAATGTCATAGAGCTTGAATATATTTAAAAAAAAATTCAGTAAATATTCATTAGCTAGTCATAATTGGTCCTTTAACTGCCATTTTGATTCTACAAAATCTTTAGTAAGTGAATTAGATTTCATTACAGCCTTCTACATTGACAGAAATGTATTTATTTTATTACATCCAATTAAGTTTTCTTTTTAAACTTTCAAAATTTTTAATTTCCTAGCTGGGTTTTCTTTGCCCTTTGATTTATATTTTGAATGATAAATGGAGCTATGTTCATTTTGTTTTTGGCCTCACGTATTCATTCAACCTCTGCTGTTCTCTTTACCCATATCATGGAGCTTTTTTTTCTTCTTATTAGTCATTCTTGAAGTTATTAAAAATTTTATATAAATTTTATGACAGTTTAAGTTCTACCCCCACCTTTTTCTCTTTATACCTATTTAACATTCCTATATGGACGTGAAGCTTTCCTTTGGATTGTTCAATTAGATAGCTTAAAATTAAAGAATTAAAACTCAATTATAAATTTCTTACTTATGTAGGTTACTTTATTTAAATATGCAGCATATTTTAAATAATTTAAAGAAATTTATTAATAATAAATAAATAAAAGTAAATATTTAAATTAAATGCTGTACTTAAAAGTAATATAGAGGCCAATAGGCAAGTTTAGGACCCATCTTATCTGAATTTTAGGGTGCCCTTTATCTCAAGACTCAGGATGTGCTTAATTAATTAATGATTTGAAGAATGATCATTAAGAATGAATTAATGATCATATAGAATGTGAAACCCTTCACAGCTGCAGCTTGGGCCACTTCAAAAATTTGCCTGTTGTTGAGTAAAGCAAAAGTAATTAATAACTTTTTTGTTTGGTTCTCAATTTATTCTATAATTTCTACTCCTACATATTAATTTATTCATCTTAAATTATCTTAAATGTTAATTTTGAATTTTTTATTAATTAATTGCTATTAAACCAAAAAATTAATTAAATGCAAACCAAATTTGAATCGAATTTTTCTTGCTCTGTGGTGTTCTTTTTTGAAACTAATTCCATTTAAAATTTCTGTATGCCTGTTATTTATTTTAATATTAATTAAAATAATCATGCACCACTGATGATA